TTCTACTTGGCTCATTTGCTGGATCACTTAAATTCATATCACCAGCCTCAAAGAACAAGAAAGTTCCTTGGTTCACTGGGAACCCATCAGTGGTGTCAGAAAAAATAAGCTAGCTGCATATGAATGCATATGAACCCAGACCTTTGCAGTGGGTATAGTCTCTGTGGGTTACCCACTGACTATGCAGCCCTGCTAGCTATGCTTTAACCAAATTGCACATGCATTTGTGAGCTAGCAACCTTACACTGGATTGCTAGGAAGTTATGGAGAGTCTTGCACTCTTCTGTGAAAACAAATTAGGAATTGACCTGCACTGCATGTTGACAAAATTCTGTTCTGTTGATCAATAAGCAACCAAGTTAAGAAAAGTTGAATCAAGTGTTAAGAATCCCTTTGTCTTTGTTAATATGACATCATTCTAGCACTATGAAACTGGGGGCTCTGAAAGTGTTCCAGCATGTACGATTGGAAATTGGAACTTGGCTCTAGCTGTGCAAACATTTGGGGTGAAATGCTGTGGGGGCATCTGTTCCATGGTTCTCAGAACAGCTGTCTTGGGTGGCTTTCACCCCAATCACTGATCCCTGAGAGGCCTCTCTTTCTCCTATCAGCTGCTTACCAGTTTTATACAATGAAGCTTGGCAAGTGTCTTGGGTGATGGTCACAATACTTTTGAATTCAAGCTGTCAGAAGCAAACTTGCTTACTCATTAGACTGTGTGACCAGTGCACTCATTTCCACAGTGCACTTGGGTACCCTTGGAGTAGTGATATATTCAGTGAGATGCAAGGGACAGCATTTAGCTCTTAATGATGAATGATGGATGATTATTTTCTCAATATAGGACTTTTGCTCACTGCAAAAACTCTAAGGCTGTATTTTGTTCTAAAGACAGTAATGGGAGCTGAGAATGTAGCTCAGCTGGTAGAGGGCTGGCTTAGAATGTGTGAAGGTCTGGATTCAATCCCCAGCACTATAAACTGGGTTTGGTACTGCATATCTATAGCCCCAACATTAAGAGATGTTGTCAGGAGGATTAGAAGTTCAAAGTCACCCTTGACTATATAGCAAGTGCAAGGCTAGCCTGGGGTAGCTAAGACATGAAGGGAAGAGGCAAAGGGGAGATTGGAGAGCTTGTGCTGTAACTCTTCTGCACTAAGCACATATTTGAGCTGACTCACTGATGTTTGTGTTCACACAACACCTTGAATAAGGTAATTTCTTCATTCTCATTCTATAAATTTAAAAATTGAAACTCCTTAAGGTCAGATAAATTGTCTTATTGACTAACAGAGATTCAGCTCAGCCCATTGGATTCCAGTGATGAATTAAAGTCTGCTGGATGACAAGAAACCTTACAAATATCAATCGAGAACATCCTAGAAATAATTTTTAACTAATAGGAAAAAGGGAAAAGAAAGCTTATCTTAAAATAAAATGATGAGAATTTAGAAATTTTCTTGCCTGAACATCTCAGAAAATTCATAGTAAGCCAGGCTGTGGTGGCACACGGCTTTAATCCCAGCACTTGGGAGGTGGTGACAGGTAGATCTCTGTGAGTTCAAGGCCTGCCTGGTCTATAGATGGAGTTCCAGGACAGGCTCCAAAGCTACAGAGAAATCCTGTCTTGAAAAAGCAAAAAAAAAAAAATTAAATATTAAAAAGACTTTCATATCCAATGGTGGGATGAGAGGATCATGTCCTCAGACTTGGAAAGTTCTGGTTGCCCTGTCTGCTACTAAGAGTCATGTCACCTTGGCTTTGTCACTCCTCTCTGCATTCTTTTCTCAAAAATACTGGCACTCTGTTATTCATACCACCATCCAGATATAATAAGGTGATAGAAAATTTAAAAACTAAATATGACTATTAGGGAAAGAAGTTGATATTATTTCTCATTGTCACCAGTCATGGATGGAATTGCACAATCTCAGAATTGGAAGGAGTGTGTTTGTTTCAGTTTGGATCTGGTGTCTTCCCCAAGGCTTAGGTGATGAAGGCTTGGTTTCTATAGCAGCGTGGTTCAGAGTGTGGCTTTGGGGAGGTGATGGGATCATAGGGGCTCTGTTTCTATTGGTCAGTTAATCTGCTTTAGAGAAGGCTTCGTGTCTGTGAATGGACAACTGTGTGTAAATGAAGAAATAAGGAGCAAGGCAGACAAGAGCTTTCTTTTCCTGGATAATGTAGGATGCAGCAGGAGAGTGAGCAGCTTCTACCTGAGGGAGTTGTGAAAGAATGGTTAAACGCAGGTTAAAACACCAGTAAGGCAAGAGAATATCTAGAAGTGGCTCTCAATAAAGGAAATCTACCATCTTTGCCTTGGGACACTTAAAGTTCCTAAGGCCATTAAGGACACAAACTAGAACACACTAGCAGTACTTCCAAGTGTAGGCCTTGGACCAAGTTCATCACCACCACCTAGGAGCTTGTGAATAATGTAACTCTCCGATTTCAGATCTACTGGGTCAGAAACGAAGTCATTTTCACAAGGGCTCCAGTGTTTCTGATGGATGCTAAAATTTGGGAACTAGAGTGAGTCTAGAATTCATGGAGAGAAAGGTGACTTGAATGTCCTGTGGTGTTTACAGGGATTGGCAACCCCTCACACACTGAACAGAGATAGACACTTGCTCCAGCACCTGTTTGTTCTAAACCTCAGTGGCCTGCTCTAAGTGACTGAGCAATCACCCCATGCTCCTGATCCATGATGCACTGGGCCTTTAAGGAGAAATGATTCTCCTTCTGGTTTTAGAGTAAGACTTTTAGTCCTACAAACATGACTCAAGTAAGAGGGTGTGTGTGTGTGTGTGTGTGTGTGTGTGTGTGTGTGCTGGGCTTTTGTTCTAAAGAGAACAAAGGCTGAGGATTAGCCCAGCCAGTAGAGAACTCAACCCCCTCTTTAATTGCAAACTTTTACTCCTCTTTGGTTTCTGAGCAGGTGACAGTACACCAAGTTGGTGATATTACCCCCAAATGTATGGGGATGTACTTATAAGCAGTCGTAACACACGTCTTCCTTAAATTTTAGGAACCACATCCAGGCATGCTCTGAATTAGCCACGTGGATTAACTACTAAGCACATTAAATTCATAAGTTCCAGTGAGTTCTGTTACTTTGAACCTCATTATTCATTTATTGATTTGGGTTCTTGAGCCCCCCCCCCCCATGTAGTGGAGGAGACAAACATATAGTCACTAAATATTTGCTATGTGCTACGTGGTGATAAGCAGAAGAAATGACTGGAGCACAGGAGTATCTCATCTTGGCAGGAAAGCATGTTTAGTAAGTTGATGCACATGTGGGGTTTGGGAGGAACAGCATGTGCTCTTCAGCTGGGGCACGGGCATGGGAATAGGGACTATTTCAGGCTCGAGAGCAGTTAACGATTTGTTGAGTAGTTTGCCATGGGAAAACCTTTGGGTAAGTGCTCCCGGCCTGCAAGACAGGATGTTCTATAAACCTTGTCATGTGTGATCATGCGGGCTTTATAGTCTACACCAAAGAGTCTTCGTGAAGAGGGGTGAGTACTGGAGGGTTTAAAGCAAGAGCTGGAGTTTCCTGCCGAGCTGTGTCCAGTAAAGTTGTTTTAACACATGCTCTTGGGCTAAGCTGAGGAACAATATCAAGACTACAGGTCATTTATAACTTTTTCTTCACACGATGTGTATTGTAAGGGTCAGAAGACTGCTTTTTAGAATTGGTTCTCTCCTTCCACCGTGTGGGTTCCAGGGATTGAATCAGGTTGTTAGGCTTGGTGGCAAGTGTCCAATCTGAAGTTGCAATGATGTAGGGTCCTCTAAAAGGCAACATTCTTTATGACAAATCTCACATGGCAAACCTTTTTTTGTTTGTTCTTTGAGACAGGGTTTCTCTATGTAGCTCTGGTGCCTGTCCTGGAGCTGGCTCTGTGGACCAGACTGGCCCTGAACTCACAGAGATCTGACTGCCTCTGCCTCCTGAGTGGCGGGACTAAAGGTGTGCCCAACCCCCACCCTGTGTGGCAAACTGTTTTAAGAGTATGAAGAGAAGGGAAAGGAGATATAAGTCTTGGGGGTGGGTTGGGAGGAGTTACAACATAGACGTGCGGTGATGGGATAAGTGATTATCTCATGTATATTAGCAAAAACAGTGAGCGATGAGAAGCAGGCATGTCCAAAGCAACTGAGGTTTCCATCTAGTTTGCCTGGAAGGCAGGGGCAGCTGGCTCCATTTCCTAGGATTTGGTAGTTTGGAAGAAAAGCAGGGGTGAACTCAAATATAATGAATGCTTGTGGGGAGTCCAAGCAGATGTGGCTACTGTCAGGAGCCATTGTGGAGCTGGGAAGCGTTGACTCTCTCCCCATCCTGGAAACGAAGGAGTGCCTCCAGGGAGAGCAATTTCCAGGCAGGGCAGTACTAGAAAACGCAGATTAGAGCCCCGAGCGTGGACAGTCAGTGAGCAGGTGAGAGAGGAAGACCTAGCAGAGGGCAAGGAGAAAGAAAACATAGGTAGAGAGGACAGGAACATGATGACTTAGAGTGTTGATATGGGCAGCAACAAGAAGGGATACTGGAAGGGCTTTGGCGTTTGCAAATCACTGATGCCTTATGCAGGCATCAAGGCACAGGTCATGTGATATATTGGTATGCAGTGAAATGATGCACTATACTCTGGTGTGGTGGGGGAGAGGAACAGGTGACCCACTGTGAGGTAACTTACATCATCCAAACAGAGAATTCCAGAACAAACTGAATGGAGTGGAAGCATTACGTGACTTAGAAAACATTCATTAAAAAAAAAAAAAATTACCACACCATAGTGAACGGTAGGCTTACAATAATGAAGAAAAGTAGACCAAAATTATTTGTCAACTGCTTCTAAATAAAAGGAAATAGGACAAAGTTCTCAGGAATATCATTAAAGCTTTATAACAATACAATTCATTATCATTGTTTGGGTTAATATTGTAATAATTACACACTTTTTACATTATGAAAATAAGTCATAAATAGTGTAAAAATAATTCCGAAGATCAACTTCTCACAAACTAGGAACCCTGAAAACAAGTTTTAAAAGTAAATTAAAAACAAATTAGAAAATGAACCCAAAGCAATTATCTCCAAATTGCAAATCAGAACCTTCACAGGCCCGTGAGTCAATAATGACAGTTGGGAAAATTACAGTTGAAATAAGAAATCAAACCGGGAAAGTTCAATCTTAGATATTTACACTACTGAGACAATAAGGTTTGCACCATATATACAGTGAAAAGATACAACACATTATTAGAATAACCAAGTACATGAGACTGGCCCATGAAACATTAAAAAAACCCCACAAGGTAATGCTTGCCATTTTTTCCCCCATTTCTCTCTTACTATGTATTTATGTGAATTTTTGGCAATATAAAAATAGCTGCACATAGAGATGAACTTTAAAATGTAAAAAATACAAATAAAAATATAATATTTCCAAAAGATAAATCAGATACATACATCTTTTTAAAAATGTCCACCCGAATGAAACATTTACAACACTGTGAAGGATTTCCACTCAAACGCCAACAATATGTGAGACACTGTTCGTGAACCCGACTCATTAACATTTCAGAGATAGGTCAGAATATCCACTTATTTTGAGAAATGCTGGTATTTTCTTTGTTGTCAAGAAATCAAGCATGGCAAGGTCCATCTTCCTGTCTCCAAGACGGTGTGCTAATCAGCAGAGTAGGCAGCTTATATATGTAAATATATCTTGGTAAAGAAAAAAGAAGCCATTACAATGTTTGTTACTATAAAAGTAACCAAAACCCTAAGTAAATCCACCAGCAATCTAAGTTAGAGAAGTATCTCTGGGTGAGAAGATGTGTTAAGAGAATAGAAGCGGGGACAGGGGACTTTTATATCCTAACACAGTTGGGCAGAAGTATAACTGGTCAAACACCAGTATCACAACTCCATCCAGTGAACCTTATGAGATAGTAGGGCTTTTTTTTTGGTAAAAATTATTAAGTTCTATGTTTCAGTGGCACTAAACATGAAAATAATCTAAATATCATAAAGAAAGGAAGGAAATCTAGGTTTCAGATGTCAGCATCTAAACTTCTCATAACCACTTTTGAGAAGATGCTGAACCACTATCAGAAAAATATAGTGTGTGTGTGTGGGGGGGCTAAATGTTAGTTTTAATGTTTTACTATCAATATTTTTAAAGAATTCTTGGAAAATAGGCACATTTCCTAAGTGACAAAAATACCAAGGACACTTTTCCCATAGGTGCAGAGTGGTAATCCGACCATTTCCTTAAGCTAGCAGATACATACATACATACACTAAGTACATGTATGCAAACTGCCCCACTAACAATCATATGCACAGAATAAATCCCAAACCAAGAACTTTCTATTGGTAGGAGTGGGAGACATTCCAATATTCTCCATAAAATAACAGCATAAAGAAAAGCCCTCCAAGGCTGCACTGGATAATGGAAAAGGAAAGCGGGGGTGGGGGGTGGGGGGGTGAGGAGATTCAGGCATTCTTATGTACCAGTACCCCACATGTCATATGTAGACTTCTCTAACCCTGGCTGCATCAAGCTTACCATATGTTTATAAGCTGAAAGGTGAGTGAACTCAAAAAAGAAGGTAAATGAAAACTGATAAAGGCATATGGTATATAAAAAGAACACAGAATAAGGGGGACCACAGAGCACTGTTTTACATTAGGAAAGGCTGGTCATTGAATTATGTTTACAACAGATTCTTGATCTTCAAAAATTAAACCACACACTAACAGCTTAGGAATGCCATTAAACAGAGAAACGAAGTTACCCACAGTAGAGGTCCACTATCCAGAGAGACAAAAAGGAAGGATATTTACCAGCAGCAACCAAGGCTAATGGAAAACCATGTAAAGTGACAACACAATAATGGCATCCTTTAGAGACATTTGCTGTCTCTGAAGTAAAACCTGACCTTGACATATTTCCAGTTGGTGTTCCATACCTTTTTTTTTTAGTTCTCCTAAAGAAATCTTTATGAAAAACAATGCTATCTATAAACATATGTATCAACAATGACAATCCGGTATTGATTCCTTTGGAAATTATTCAGTTTGATGACAAAATGGATGATTAAAGATGTTTGAAAAGTCCAACGTTTATGGTTAACTCCTGGTAGTTAACCTAGCAATCCACTGAGCACAGATGACAGCCATCCTCCTGTTGTCTGTTCCGAGGAAGTACATGAAATAGAATTTTACACAGTCCTTTAAATGTGTCTTACGAGCAAAACCCCAGTGCACACACAGTCCGAGCAGTATTCTTTATAGGGGTATGTCCATTTTGTTAATGATGCTTTTATTGTTGAGCTAGTCTCATTCGAATCTCTCTAAATTTTAAATCATGATCCCTCTCAATACTCCTTTTTAATGGAGAAACAGAAAGGAAGGGAGGAGGAAATACAGTCACCAGATTGTCTTCAAGATTCTATAGTTGCTTTGTTTATTGTTCCTGAAGATAATGTGTAATCTTGAGCTCATTTTTGTCTCCCAAATGATTTAAGACAAATTCTTTCATGTATTGAGAAATATCTTACCCTAACCACATCATACAAGAAATCGTTAGAAAATACTCTCCACAAAAAACCCACTAATGCTAAATTGGCTTAGAAGTGTGGAATGTTGTTAGGAATATTACCAGATAGTCTGATCTAACATTTAAATTCTAATCTCAGAAATGACATAAGGAAAAAAAGATGACATCATTTTGTATGATTGAGCATTTGGTTACATGCTATGAAAGACATCTTAAGATCTGTTTTGAAATTGCATCTTCATTGTTGTAATCCTAAACATGCAAGAATTTCCCCTCTGGTGGTGAAAATCCAAGCACCAAACTAGAAATGTTCCCATTAAAAATGACATTTAATCACCGAAGGAAATAAAATGCTCTAATGGGCTACTAGAATCACCACTTGCACAGATGGAGCTTTTCCCAGGCAACCCTTCCACTTAAAATAAATCATTTCAAAACATGCCACAAACTTGGCAAAGAAATGCCCAGTCAGTCTGCGTAGGTATGTTTTTATCAAGTTAGTGAAAACTAAGATTCTCTCTCTGGCAACTGTATTCCAGGGCTTTCTGAGATCTCAGATTTGGTCTGTGTATAAAACAAAACTTAGAAATGTAAAAACAAAACTGGATAAATAAACATCAATATAGGAAAAACATAGAAGAAGCAAGTTCATGCTATCAAAATGTGATAAAAATCTTTACAATAACTGACAGGTAAATTTGTCAATGTAAATCAAAAAGTAGTGAAAAATGCTTAATCTTTATACTTCATAATAATTAAGCAAAATAAAAAATGAAGTCTCCCCATAATCTCTCCAATTATTTCAACCAAAACAAAAAAGGAGACGTTAAAAGGTTATTTTTACCATAATGGATTCAAATTATTATGATTTGAAAACTTATCTTAAAAAGTATTCTTTAAAAACCTACGAGACCCAAACTGAAGCAAATAGTTTGTTCCTTGACTAAGAAAATAAAAAGTGTGAGAAAGAATGGAAACTACATTTTGTTTCTAGAACTTGTAGAAAAAAATGTTTCTTGTGGGTCAACCCCAGAAGGGAGAGAGGGATGCTTTCTGACCACCTTTGGTAAAGTTTGCACTAACTCCCCTGCATTTGTAGCACAGCTTATTCTGTTTGACCCTTCTTGGGACAAGTTCTCTCTTCAGCAACCTGAGCTCTGATGGGATGGTGTCTGCACCCTTCAATCTGCTCAAACAGGGGCTTCCTTTCCAAGGCTCTGCTGTCTCCAAAACACTGCTGCGTAATTACTGCTGACATTTCCCCAAAGCACCCAGATCAACATCCGTGGGAAGTCAGTTCTTCTAGAAAAACAATTCCTGCTTCTCTTGGTGTTCGTGGCTATAAACCTCCTTCCAACTTGGTCACAGGAAAGACAGTGCAGGAAGCGGAACCGGTCCTCTTCAGGCGTCTTCACTGCCAAGCACAGCCCGAGGAAAACAAGTGGCAGTAATCGGCTCAACCTTTTGGTATTTCAACCAAGGTTGTCAAAGGAGCCCACATTGTTAGGAGCTGTGGATCTGCAGTCAGGACTGCAACTCCCTCAAAATATAAGACCAACTGTGTGTGTGCTCTCCATCAACTTATCTCTTTTTGGCAATAAGCCACGGTGTAACCCCCTTGAGATGACAAAAGGAACAAAGGTTCAGATGTAGTCAAAGAACTTCTGAGGCAGCATGCAAGCGTCTGCATTTGCACAAGCAGGGTTGGCACAAGGTCATGCTGTTTTTAGTTAGTTTCAGTAGGTGGTGTGGGCGTGAATGAATGCTACTAGGGAATGTGTGCTACATGGTCAAAGCTTTGAGATCATATTTGGTCACAATTTCATGTAAACTATTTCATGGCACTTTTGGTCCATGCAATTAGCAAGCCCCAAATAAGAAAATAGTGAGAGCAATCGTTCTTTATCACTGATGTCCATATAAATACATATGTCCACATAAAATAGAGATAGCGATCCCTATTTCCCGCAGGCTCCTCACTTCCGTAAACTGTCTAATTGCAGATGTGAGAAATGATGGATGTCTGCACTACCGTGAACAGGGAGAAACAGTGCAGTGAGCAGATTCCACACTTGCAGAATCTGCAATTCAGTTTTTCAACTATAAATATAAAAGGTGGACCATTATATACACAACTTCATGCTTGGAAGGTTAGATTCATCACTGCAGAAAAACAGACAACAAAAAGCACACGTGGAGTTAGTGGTTCTTTGATAACAATTCCAAATTAACATTTACTTTACAAACACTGGAAGAACCTTGTAGTCTTTCCCCCCCTCAAGTCAGCAAGCTAATTTGATCATTTGGTGTTTCCCATATCATAGTTTTTAAAAGTCCAGTCTATCATAGTTCACATCTTAGTTTCAACCCACATTTTTCCACTGCCAACCTAGAACTTTATGATAAGTGATTGTATTAGTCACTTTGCTGGGAAAGCAGAAAACTGATTTTATTACAGGTATGCTTTCATTAGTATACACAATATCTTCAGGCATTACAACACAACCTAATAACGGCCAAAAGGTCCAAGCTCAAAGGCAGTATTAACCAACAGTTTCCTGCATATAACGCATGTGCCTTTCCTATTCCTATAACTAGCCTTGCCCAGAAAGCAGCTGGCAAGGTAAACCTGCCCACTTCCAGTTTTCATGCAGCGTGACAGTTCCACAGTGACAAAGAAATTCCCTCAATCTTTGGTTCCTCATTTAGGAGAGCCATCGTTATGAAGGTCCTTCCAGAACCACCTCAACTCTGAGACTAAGAAGCAGTTTTCATTGTGCTATTAGCTTATAGAGCAGATCTTAGAGACTTCTGCTGGATTTGTTTTGTTTTTGAGACAGGGTTTCACTGTGTAGCTCTGGCTGGCCTCGAACTCACAGAGCTCTGCCTGCCTTCTGGGTGCTGAGACTAAAGGCTTATGTCTGGAGCTTGCTAGCTTGCTTGCTTGCTTCCTTCCTCTATCCTTTAGTTTTACTCAAAGAAAAATCAATGAGGAAAGTAAAATCCAGAAGAGAGTAGGACAATGGATGCCTCTGGAACATCGTCCACAGGTAACTAGTTCAGAGTCCCCAGTCAATGATTTCATTAAAAACACTTTTTTTTTCTCCTTTTTCCAAGAAAAACTGCATGAGAATGAATCTGTCAATATCCTATCACAGAGGATCTATATATAGTTGATAGTGATCGATAGATGTTTTCTTAACAGTCTGGCCACTGTTGAGGTGTCCATACTCCTGTGAACAGTCCTTTATCTTTGTTTCTCTAAGGAGCGTAATGGAATTCATTAGACCATCACAATGGCAGGGGGACTAGTTGGAAAGGAAATCAGTGGGAGTGGGAAAGAGACAGGAGAAGGTAATGGGTGAGTGAATATGATCAAATATATTATATACATGTATGAAAATGTCATAATGGACCCATTATGTATAATTAGCATATGCTAATAAAATATGGAAATTCCACAAATGTGTTTATACTGGTTAGCCTAAATAAAATAGGACTAACCAAAAGCCACCTACCTGATTTATTGATAACATTTCAATAAAATTATTTGAATATTTGAGATCTCTAAATTGGCTATCTAGGAAATCTGAGAAAATGTCATTTTTCTAATTATTTCATTGATATTGGGAGAGGGGAGATGTTGATTGGAGTTCATGTGTGTTGTGTGGAGATAATAACTAAGCAATACCAAAGCTTTATAATTGGGTTATTTTTCTTTGTAGAAGGGGCTAGACTCACAAGACTCTTAATTTTAGGTGAATATTTATATGAACAATTCTGATTCTATCACACTATTTGTGTTACTATCAGGTTTTCATTTCAGGGGCTAACAGGATGAAAAGCCCTCTGCTCATTGTCATTATGTATGTCTTTATGAAATGATTTAGAAGTTCCCGAGACCCAAAGTGATTCCAAGCGCTGAGTGGTGTCACAGTGTGGAGGAAATGAACTGTTAGCATCTCTAGGTGCAGTGTGCTAATGACTAGCTTTAAAAAAAAATCACTATCTTATCGAATTACAGGGGAGAGGTTAGAGAGCAAATGGCCATCCCTGCACAGGATGGTATTACAATGTCTGTGCATGGCAGGTAAGCCGGCAAGAGGCTAGTTTTACCAGGTGAGGGGAGAATCTGATGAGCGTCTCTATATCCAGAGACCCTCTTGACCGAAGATACAGCTGAGTTAATTACTTGATAGGCCTAAAGGGGAGCCTGGGATGCTAATAAATAAATGATGCTGTTATGAGAGAAGGCTTTTCTGTCCCCAGCTAAGTGTGTGAAGCTAGTTGAGAAAGCAAATTACATAAGATTTCCTGATGGTTGAGTTGCTGACTTGAGAAGCAACCAAGAATCCAGTGTCTCCTCAAGTTTCCACACTCTGGCTTACATAGTTTATTCTAATTTTGCCAATGAAGCATGGCTGGCTACAGTTACTGGATAAGCTACAAAGTATCGGAGATAAAATTTCAAAACTATCAAAGCAACCTGGATGCTTCCCTTATCACATTGCTATTTCTAGGCATTTCTTTGCCCTCTGGTAACCTGCACACTGGGCTTATACCATTACCATGTAAAGAGTCTGCACTCCCTGGGCAGTGCAGAATGCACACAGCTCTGTCTTCCTGTTGGAAACACTACTGCAATTACTTCCTGCTGCTTCTCCTTCCTAGCCCTGTTACCTTCCAACTTGCTGCTCTTGGAAGTTTCTTCATGTTTTCAATTTATATTACTTGTGTAGACCACTGTATGGATTAACCGAAACAATCAATATCCCTGTATGACAGGACATAACATACATCCCCTTGTGCACAGAAGGCTTTCTGAGTAGAGCCTTCTGTACTGAATGCATCCACAGTGACTGTGGGCAGTCATGTGATGAGGATTAAGCAAACCGAGATAAAGGATAGTGGTATAAACCTAAGCAGACACTACTAAATAAATCAAGAGATTACTGATAAGTGTTACATTTATATTTTCTGCTTTCTCAGTTGTGTGACTAATATTGACAGGGTTCTACCATATATCTGCATATTTGCCAATGCAACAGATATACAGGGAAAAATCACAATTAAAAATAATTTTTAAATAGTAGGAGGAGAGAGTTCATTGGCAAAGAGTCCAACAACCTCACCAGACATATTGCGCCTTTCCATCGCAAACAGATTTTGAGGTTCTAAATGATAATTTGTCAAGAACTGTTTTTGCTCATTGGTTTAGGAGGAAATTAGTAATAAATATAGTCATTTAAAGATTTCCCAGAGCTCGAATATTTGCTTTGAAATACCCAAACAGTTTCCAAGGACGTCAAATGTAAAAGGTCTGTTCTGCAATGGAAAGGGCCCGGTCAAGATTAGGGTTTCTTCTTAGGAAAAAAAAAAAAAAAAAAAAAAAAAAAAAAAAAAAAAAAAAAAAGCCATAAGGCCTACCTACCTTTTGCCAGCAGCCAGGCATGGGTAATCCATCAGGTCCCTGGTTTTGAAGGGAAGAAAAGAATTCCTTAGGCTCCTCGTAATGATTAGATATAAGTCTACATGCTCAGAGACTTCAAAAATATTTCTATCAGGTGGCTTCAGTCATAGGCATCTTATACTAAGTAGTGATTCATGATATTTTACCTAGCGTTAGCTAAAATGAAGGTAATTAAAATGTTTTCCAGACTGAGCACACATCTAGAAAATATGCAAATACAGAAGAAGCTATGTCTAATTTTGAAATGAAATTTACAAAGCAGAGTTGCCTCATGCTCTGCTCACAATACATCTTTAGATTTTACATCTGCACACTTCATGGTACCTCTTAATGTCACTAAAACATCTTGCAGGTGTCTTTGCTAAATTAACCAGTTTCATCTCCTTGTGGTCACTACGGACTATGGTTCGTGGCAATGGTAATCAAAGGCAAACCATTTCTATCTGAAGTTTATAGCTCGCAGTATGCTAGTGTTGCCCACTTTCTTATAGTGTAAGTGGATATTACAAAATATACTCATTTGAAACATGGCAGTCTATCTATATATTAGAGTATGTGCCATCCAGTGTTCACTGGGACTTCTGTTTAAATCTACAGAAGTTGGTTAACATTCCGAATGAAGATTTCTAAATACTACAAAATATATCTTAGGATGTAAGCATCTTCAGATACAAATGAGATTGGAAGGTGTGATACAGTTGAAGGCATGCATTTTCCCCCAATGAATGGACTTAGAGAGTGTGACTTATCAACACCAAGCAAACAAAAGACAGAGTACTCCATATTAATATTTGCTAACTATAACAACCAACTGAATAAGATTGTTCTATACACATGATCTCTTAAAAGACTCACAAAATATACATTTACCTTTAATGAATCATGCTTATAACTGGAGAATCACATAAGGCCATGCAGACCAAATGGAACATGATAAAAAGCTTTATCTATACTCCATAAACTATAATCACACTGCCTACTTAATTGTAAAAAAATAAATCTAGCTTTATAACATATTTGGGAGAAATTGGTAATGCCAGATTGGTACAAGGGAAAGGATCAGCCAGTAGACTTTTAGATTTTAGTATAAGGAGGATTTTGAGTTCATGCCAATGGAGGAGGGAGTTTGTTCTATTTTAGGAAAGTGAGTTTTAAAAGGAGAGACCATTATGCTGGAAAGGTTACGTGACAGAGAAGACGGTTTAGGCTGCAGACAGTTGTCATCTTGAGATGTGCAGGGCCATTGCTTTCTTTCCTATGGTCTCTTAATAGCATTGCTTCGAATTGGTTAACCCTTGACGAAGTAGCTTTGTTATGTAGGTTTGGCCTTATTGATGGCCTGAGAAAACTAATGAGAGATACAAAAATACCTTTGTTTCTTTTAGAGGAAAGGAAAAAGTATAAGTAGGGTGAAAGCCCAAAGTTCTGGTCTACCACTGCCTTTTCATCATGTGTTTTTTTCTAACTTACAGGTAATCTCTGAATATTTATTGGATAAATTAATATTACAAAGAACATAGAGATGGACACGTCAGTAGTGAGAACAATGTTAGATGATTAATTGGTATTTGTTGAGAACACATGTTTTCTCTCTCCTCTCTGCAGAGTCCAGAGAGGAGCCTGGTCATGCACATGCATGTAGTATGTTTATCATGTAAAGCTTGCTCCAGAAAGAAGCGCTTTACACTGATACAGACAAACACATGGTAAATAAAGGAACGGCATGCAGGATGGTAGGAAAGAGAAATACTGTACCAATTGGCAAGGGGCATCCAGCCCATCCAGGCCAGGCTGGCCTGGCTCCCCCTTTTCCCCCTTAACGCCACGGAATCCCTGTTTGTAAAGATTAACTCATAACGTTACCAATCCAAGAATTCATTGAAAGCAAAAATCTGCTAAAGAAACAACTAGAAGAAAAAGCTGGAAGAGGAACAATTTAGAAGGGATAGTAACATGCAGAGAAGTTGCACATTATTGTGACCAGGCCTTGTCAGGAGACCATAGCCTCCTCTTTGGAGGGAAATGGAATGGTATGCTATAGTCAGGCTTGAGACCACCAGCACAGCTTGAGAATTTAGAACTAGAGTAGGGAGGAATGGCCAGCCACGTGTATACGGAGCACACACTTCTGAGCACCCGTCTGCAGGCCCATGTAGCCGGCCCTCATGGGAACCTGCTGTTACTGGTCCCTCTGGCCTGCTCCTCTCCCATCTCAACCCTCACACAAAACATCTGGAGACAGTTGCACAAGTTAGACATACCAACGGGCAGGGTGCATCTAATCCAGGAGCGCCCTGTTCTCCTTTCTCCCCTTTAGGCCCCTTTTTGCCTTTCTTTCCCTTTTCCCCCTGTGAATACAAGGGTTTAAATAAAAGAAAGATTTTATTTGGAGGGGTGTAGAATAAAAATAATTCAAGATATGGCTTAGCCGGGAATAGTCTGGAAGGACATTTACCACTGTTTTCTGATATAGAGGAGACATGATGCTATTAAAAAAACAAACTTACTTTAACTGCCATGGTGACAATGGATTCTGGCAGCAGGATTTATCATCTATTTATTTATTTACTTATTTATGACATTCAACAAGAAGAAAGAAGGAGACCAAACGGCTGAGGCATCACAAAGGTAGATCAGTGTTGACCACCACAATATTGGGAGTCAATTGTGAATTAGGGATTTGTGGAGCAGGCCTGGCAAAGATGGTGGGTACCCATGGTGCTGAGGCCAGTCAGTAGCAGGTGGACTGGGGTAATAGATACTACACCCAATTTTGAGTACCTTTCAACCTGCCTTTCCCCGCTTCTCATTCTTTAACATACAATGGCTGCACAGACTCAGAGAGGCAATGGCTTTCGTCTCTCCCGGGATATTCAAAGATACTGTATTTTGCAGCTCTCAGTAAAAATATTCGGGTATTAAAATGCTCTTCCATTGTGTTTCACTTTTTTCTCCCCAGCAAAAATAAAAGTGAATACTTGACTTAATGAGTTAGACAAAAGCTTCAGGTGCTGATACTCGGTGGCCATGCCAACTGGAGAAACCAACGTCTAAAAACCTAGACGGTCTTCTTCAATCTCTTGTTGACCTTGTATCAGTTATTCCCAATGGTAAATGAGTTTCCAGCTCAGTGCTGTGGGTAGGAAAAGCAGTCTGGGCTCATTAAAATGAGGTAGGAAGGATAATTGCACAGTGGGAATGTAGCTGTGGAAATTAGTATTTGGGAATCAAGGTCAAGGTTCTGGGACGTCTGCATGGATCATAGGGATGGAGGAATTAAGGAAAGGAGGCAAAAGGAGGGGAAGGAAGGAATGCACCCAGCTGTTTTACATTAGCATACACATCTGCAAACTTATAGTCAGGGAGTCGGTGCTGTGCAGAATGCAAAAGATGATACATAGATACACACTTAAATGAGAGCATTCTGCAGTCTGGATGGCAGTTACAATAAAACTGAACAGTCTTTGAAGCAAATGGCATGAATATTCAAAGAGACACAACAGAACAACAGACACCACAGACATGTATGAGACACTCATTCAAATTAGTGCATTCATTCTGACAGCATGAGCCGAAGCTCCTCCTCGTTCATCTCCAGTGCGCCAAAGACATTGCAGCACAAGGCTTGGAATCAAAACCACTTGGGCTTCTTGAATATGGGGGAAAGAAATTCTGTGTGGCTTTGTGGTGCTCGACTGAAGACAAAGATGTGACAGGGAGGGTGAAGAAAAAGCAGTTATGACAGAAGTAAGTGGGTGATGCATTCGGGAGTAAGCACTCATTCATGAAGACTCAGTACCCCTCCCTCAGCAAGTAGCTTCCATGCCATGACATAAACTGAGACATTTTGGGTGTGCTATGCTCTCCATGAAGGCATGGATCTATCTTTGAGTAGGTCTAACGGAGACCAGGTGTGTGGGTTGTTAAGTGGAATTCATTATTCGATCGGCAAATGGGTTTAACTACTCAAATCCAGTGATAGGCAATGCTTTTTTTTTTTGTTAAAATTTAAGTGAACGGCAAGATTTATGGAAAATAGATTAAAATAATATATCAATGTTATTAATCAACATCATGTTGTAAAATAGTGATTATCTATGTACCACAAAGTTATCTCTCATTGTGTGTATGAACAGTTGAAATGTGGTAATTGTCAATTTTTACTTCTTGTATCCAAGAAAAATGTACACAAAGTGTTCAGCATTCAGAATCTAATTTTCCTGAATATGTCTTCTAATCGTGGGAATATTTTCAAATTGTCAATTTTTACTTCTTGTATCCAAGAAAAATGTACAAAAAGTGTTCAGCAATCAGAATCTAATTTTCCTGAATATGTCTTCTAATCGTGGGAATATTTTCATATTGGCAATTAACATTTTTCTGAAGCTGGGTTTGTGAGTTTGTGCTTTTATAAGCTACATGGATGGGAATTTCTCTTCTCTCCTCCACACGCCTCCTCTCCTTTGCAAAGTTGGCAAACAAACTCGGGGCTCTGTGGGTGAATGTAATGACTCCACCACCACCCAGCCAATATAGGGAATTTCTAACTTCTTCAAAGATCATAAAATTGAGTACCATGTGATACTTTTTTCTTGAGTAAGATTTTAGATTCATAAGCCCACTAGGTAAATATAAAATAAGTGAACATAGCCTTCAAGACAGTTTGCCTTGTGTTCTTGCACAAAGCTGATCTCAAACCACATAAAACCTGAAGTCAGGATTTACAACGTGGAAAAGAACTTTTTATGGCATACTTTTCCATTTTTTTGTGAAGTGGGGTAATGATAGCAAAACCACCTCAGGGTGGTGGTGTGAGGATTTCAGGGTTTATCTTGTGTACAGCCCTTGGGGAAAGCAATACACAGGTACCCAACATATGGGATGCTTCGATGGCGCTGCTTTGGGATGGATGACAACTGTATAGGCTCTCTCCGAAGAGAGGCTGACTAACTCAGTTCTTAAAACAGATGCAGTGGCCTTCAAACCCTTTCTTTGGCATACCCCCTTTGGTTTTGCATTACAACAGGGAAGAGTTTCACTGGTCAAGAGAATTTGCTGGGTTTTCAAAACACTGTATCAGGGCATGAATTAATCTAAGGAGGAGAGCTGGTTTAAATTGGAATCATGATGTAGATATTCAATTACTTGAAGATTTTTGTTATTGACTTTTTGTTTGCTTCATCCAATATAAACACTTACTTGATTTACTACTGGATGAGAGAGAGAGAAAAGGAGAGAGAGAGAGAGAGAGAGAGAGAGAGAACAGAACTAAAGAGAAATGGAAAAAGTGATATTTAAAATGTATAATTCAAACTTTTCTTTTAGTCATAAAATCATGTTGCTTGATATCTGCCCCTATAACCTATGTAGCTGACTGATGGTCCCAAGAAATCTTCAATACCAAGCCATAAAATAGCAAATGTTTTCATTCAAAAGCCTACAACTATTGGCTTTACAGTTAACATAGTAGCCTCTGCACAGTGGGCATACTGAGGTCTGTCTGTCACAATGTTTCTTTTCTACCCCTGAATTTAAAAAATCAAAATGTAGCAAGCACCAGTTTCTCTCTTAGGAATATCATAATGGTAAATGAGATCCTGGTCTGTGGGTGAGATGGGCTTGGCCAAAATACCGTTCAGATTTGTGCACTGATTTTACTTTTGTGAAAAAAGTTTTCAATTCCCCCAGACATTCCATTTAAAACAAATTGGTGTCAGGAAGTTGAAAGACTGTAGCTTTGATTCCCAGGGGTTAGAATCCTATCCTGGATAGTGCTCTCATTTCTAGCTGTGTAGCCTTCTTTAGTCCTCTTTGAAGACCTGATTCCTTAGATTAGCCATCTGTATGTTTTTGGAGCACAGGACCAAGACAGAAAAGGTAAATGATGGAATCACACAGGTTCAGCTGCAGTGCAGACAGTGCTAGCAGAAACACACAAGGTGCATTCTGGGAGAAGTCACCTTTTCTCCCTTTTCTCCCAGGTCACCCTTCTCGCCTCGAGGACCAGGGAAGCCCTAGGGGATAAAAAGTAAACTCAAGTTATCTATTGGTGTAATTATGGTAAAATCACACCACAGTTCATTGGTCTGAACTCAGTTATAAAAACGGACATGCCAATCTTTAAACCTACAAAGAGCCCATAGCACTTTGAAACAGCACTTTTTCACTTTTTTTTTTTAACCATTTTAATGAGCTATGCATAACAGGGTTCTTGCCTTTTTTTTTTTCTTCTAGAAAATGCAGGAGAAGGAACACAAGAATATTAATTTGAATCCTGGCACATTTACTAACTTGTGTGGGTTTGAGTTAATCACTTACCTCTGTCCTTTAGTCCCTCCACTATAAAATAAAGTTAATGACTGTCACACAGCTGTTGTGGATGTTAAATGATATGGTGGATACAAAGTGACAGAAAGATGCCTACACATAGCAGGTGCTCAATAAAAAGCAGCTTTGGTAACTTCATTACTCACATAATACCGGACAAGCTGTGACAGTCTGTATTTACATAATATAAAAGTTGTATTTCTATTACATAAAATACAATATTTTAGCACAAGAGAAAATGTACATAGAAACTTAATGCAAAAACCCCACTGCATAAACAGCTTTGACAAAACACCATTCCCCAAGGGCAGCACATGAGAGGCAGACTGATTGGATACATAGTTATTTTTTCCAAGACTGGGTCGTGCTGATGCTGAGGATTCTTAATTTAGGAAAGGATTTTGAAGTACCACTATTCAGTGTCTGTTACTAATTTCATATTCTTTCTTTATCTTATGCAAATATAGTGTATTTCATATTGCTGTCTATGTGCACAGTATGTGTATATATATGTACATATATGTATACATGGTGTATGTGTGTGTATAATGCATGCACAGACAAAATATTCTGTATTCTTGGTGTTCCCTGATGATGGAGACCATTGACTATGTCAATTATAACTGAAGGATGCTCGCTGTGCAGATTACTTACATCAAGACCAGGCTCTCCATCTTTGCCCTGCCAAAGAACCATAGTAGCTACATTAGTGTTCCTAAGTTTCACCAATAGGTTCTTGTTTAAGGCTGCTCTGGGCATGCAACATTAGTATTAAAAAGGCTATGCTAGAAATGTGCAAAAGGCTTCTTGATTAGTCAAATTGCTTTTAATCAAGTGAGGGGACTGTTAGTTGAAGTTATGGGGCATGAGGGATTTAAATTCTTTACTGGGTTAAATAGATAAGGTTGCTCAAATTCTATGCTTGCTCTCTGACTTAGCAGCTCAGTAAGGAAGTGCAAAACAAAACAAAACAAAAGTTGAGTTAAAAAACACACCAGCACTAACAAAAGAAGTAGATCAATGCTCCTGTAGTTTGACAACCCAGTTAGCTGTTCAATTAATGGAGAACCTTAAACCTGTTTATTACTGAATATCACTTGAATTTGGCTAGACAATCATCTTGAATATAACGAGTGTGAACATCCCAACTTCAAAAGCTGCTTTACAGTGAGCTTTGTAGAAGAGAATTTCCCCAGAGGGTTGGTCTCAGACTGATTATACAAGATGGCAACTTTACTCCAGCGTGGTGGTAATGCTGAGCAGATTATGTTCTGTCCAAGGTTCCCCCCAGCTACGCTTGTCCCATTAAGTACACTCTGACAGCTACTCCAAAGTGTGAATCTCTTTAAGCACTGAAATGATTGTGAATGAAGATTGCTATCTGAGTTCATAAAAAGCCTGTGGAAAGCACCAGCCAGTTAAGAACCTAAGTGCAACACATGCCACTTTGAGTCCTAACCCTACACAACTAACTGGAACCATGTCTGCACAAACCTGTGGCCTCAGTTTGGTTCTGCATAGTTCAGAATTTTAGAAGACAGAACACTGCCAACCTTCTATGTTCTGGCAATCATCTGTCCTCTCAGGAATTCAGACAGGTAAGAAACACCGTCATCACGAATAGCAATTCAATTTGCATCATAATTTTCACTTGCAAGAGAATTTTTTTTTTTGCTAATAATCTATGAGAATAGACAAGGAATGAAGGTTGTTCTAACTGAAATGCTCACATCCAAATGGTATGTGTGACCCTTCAAGGGAGTGCCAGTTATGGGTGTCCAATCAGATGGCATGGGAAGGGTGCCATCTGATAGGCAGAACCCTGCTTTCCAGATAGTACTCTTTAGCCCTCATCTCTGATCTTCAATCTCATGACATGCTTGTGGGTGTCTCTATGTACAGAGACCGCTTGAGACTGAGTCTAACCTGCCTGCACTACAGAGTTCTCTGTACTGTGACTATTCATTGAGATTAGTATGCCCACTAGGGAAGGGTTAGACATATCAGTGGCAGGTCACAGAAGCATGCTGATGGTGGTGATCACGTGACAGTGAACTCACAGGCAGCCCATAGGGCCCTCTGGGTCCAGGCTCCCCCACAGTTCCTTTCTCTCCCTGAAATGAAAAAGCAGAAAGTTCCAGTCATACATGACCCTTACATTCCCACATGGCTCATACAGAAAGCCGCCACCTAAGTGTTCTATCAGAGCGCCAATGATTCATACTCCTTTAAGGTTGGAGTGACAGCCATCCACTATGGCAGATTTTATTAGCTGACTGTTGACAGGACAGGAAGAAGCTGCCACTGCCCAGGTGTGCTAAAGGACTCCTATGTGTAGAAAGCTCTACTTGGGTGGAAAGCCAGGTTTCTCTGAGAAGTCTATCCACAGAGGCATGGGATAGGTTTTTCCTTCTCTGTTCTCAAGGTTTTCATGTGAACAGATATTACTAGCATTTTTCTTTGAAATTCAGGGGGTTGGTGAAGTCACTCCACACTGTCAGCAGAGACACATAGAATAAATGAGATCACTAGAGATGAGTATCATTAAGAATCTGAACTTTTCTTATCACTTTATATTTGCTAATAATGAAACAGCAGTGGTATTCAGGCCAGTGGTGAGGTTGTCAATAAATTAGATTTAAAATTGAATTATACTTCTAGATCTTTTTGGTGGTAAAACCCCTAGAACTTCAGGAATTTGCTAAATCCTTCTGTGCTTGGGTTTATCAGTCATGATAAAATAGTGATAAATATTCCATGAAAATTGTCCTGAAGATTAAATGTGATAGTAATACATGACATTATACAGTGCTAATAATTGATGTCACAAGTGCTAGCAATTAGAGGTCAGATTTTGAATGGAAAGGGCTTTAAGGTGCACTGATTTAAAATTGATTTCTTTCAGATAGACTTGAAGTGTTATTTATGAGTTTTAAAGTGTGTGTGTGTGTATGTGTGTTCATGTGCATGAGTTACTGGTATGTTGGGAGTGGGGTTTAGAGGCAGGGTCACAGGAGCAAGCTAACTGGACAGTGGACCGGGCCTAGTCTCAATATCACCATAGAACTTCCTACCTCTCGGCCATTCTTCCACTGACAACCTTGGCTTGGTTTGTTTTTAAAAGGAACACACTGTGGCTTATCTACATGGGGTAAGCGGTTACTGCAGCACTTGTCTGCATGATTTCTCTTCCAGACTAGCCTGCTGCTTGTATCAGAGCACCATGAGCCAGTGCTGGCCAAGTAGGTCCTGGGAACACTCAGCTGCAAGCTCCATGAAAGGTTGTTCCCAATAAGATTATCTCCCTTGGGGGGGGAGTTCTGTCATTGGTACAAGCCTCCCTGAGTGACCCCTGGACTGGCAGCTAGGATTTTGTCTGGGTGAAAGCAAAGACTACACTCCTCCAGCTTTTTGGTTATATGAAACATTTCTTTCTTGTTCAAGCCACATGGAATTTGGATCTTTTCCTCAGCACCAGAGCACCAACCCTAGCAGATGCAGCTTGGATACTCTCAGAAATGAAATTTAAACCCAGTGATTTGAATGTGTAGTGCTATTTTTTCCTGTTCTAAAGAACCTTTGGCCTTCTTGACCCTCTCAAATTTAAAACAGTACAGTGTTCTAAGGCCAGGGGAAGAAATCAGTATTTGAAACAAAACCACTAGCAGGCTTTCAGCTTTGGAGGGAAGACCCTAAGTGAAAGTGGCTTGAAGGAGAAAGTGTTTTGTTTGATGTAACAACTCAAAGGAGGGCTCTAGGCATGGCTTCAAGTACCCTGTCTTTACCCAGATGAAGAACTCAGTGGAAGGCAAGGATCATGGGGGGGGGGGAGGCTGCACACTAATGTGTCAGTCATGTATGGAGAAAACTTGCATGTGAAATGCTTCATTTCCTTTAGGCTGGCTGAATTTCATCCAGGCTCTTTCATTTGTGTATCAGTACCAGGGACTTGTTCTAGAATGCCTGGCCTTGCCCATGCTTTCTGCTTTAAAACCAGAACATCTGCAGGAGCCTCCAGATGGCACCTCCACTAACTGTGAGAGTCACACTCCGGTCTGGCACTCTGCACCGAGGGCACTTGCAGCCTACTGACTGACACATGGTCTAGTTTGAGGAGACACAAGTGTAGCACTTCACACTGCATGCACCTGGCTTCAGCTATGCCTTCAAAAATTCTTAGAGGCTTCATTTGCTCTTCTGCTTAATTCTGCACCAGTGCTGAGACCTGATACCCTTGAGACACTGTTGAGCCATCGGAAGTAGCAGCTGATTCACCAAACAGCAAACCCTCTTGAGCCCCAGGGCACTTTGCCAACAGACTGCCTGAGCTTTGCTGCTCCAATTTTAGGATGGACTGAATTTCTTCATCCAGTGCTTGGAAACGAATCTTCACTGGCAGCAGGATGTTCTTTGCTTTGAAGTATTTTTAATGAAGCTGATTATCAGAAGTTGTTGGCTTGATCTTAGAAATAACAATAATATATTCTTAAGGATTCACCTCCTTTGGGAACTCTTCTTGGATAAAGCCTGTCCTCACTGGGGTCTAGGCAATATATTTGTATTGACTTTGGTCTTATTTTCTGGCTATATTTTTTGCATAGATTTCTTCTTTGCAATATAAACTCCTCTAGATTAATGAAGATGGATGCTTTCTTTCTCAGCCCTAAAGGGGATGTCTCCATCAAACTCCTCCCCTCGGAGTTCAGGGAACCCCATGACAGAGGAGGCAGAAAGGGTGTAAGAGTCAGAGGGGATGCAGGACACTAAGAAAACAAGGCTCCCTAAATCAACATGAGCAAGGCTCATTGAACTCACAGAGACTGAAACAGCATGCACAGGGCTTGCAATAAGGTCTTCTGCATATGTACTATGGCTACTGCTTTAGTGTTTTTATGGGATACTTGAGTGTGTAAATGAGTGGGTCTCTGATGCTTGTGCCTTTTCTTGGGCTCTTTCCCTTCCGCTGGTTTGCCTTGTCCAACCTTGATATGATTCTTTTCATTTTATCTTATTTTTTATTTTGTTATATCTTAATATTACTTCTTATAGCCTGTTCTTTTCTAATGAGAGGAGAGGAGAGGATTGGGGAGGAACTTGGAGGAGCACAGGGAGGAGACACCATAATCAGGACATATTATGTGAGAGAAGAATCTTTTCAATTAAAGAAAAAGAAAACAGATGCTTCCTCTGCAGTGTTACTTATATATTTGCAATCCTTAATAAAAGTGTCTGTGATGATGATGAATCAATGATAAGGGTATTATTCAATACAGCATAGCTGCCAGCAAAGGGGGGGGGTGGTTTCTTTAAGTAGGAGGAGCGTTTCTTTCACCCCCAAAGGGTTGCATTGTAAATAGTTGCATCTGATAAGCATTTACTACATGCATGAATTTACTTTATGAATTTACTTTATGGAAACAGAACTGGGGAATTAGAAGGCATGTCAGATACATTACTACCTAGTTCTCTCTTTGAAAATCAAATTAGCCCAAACTCGTGTGGTGAACCATGATGCCAACATCATAAAAAGCTCACGTTCAGCATACTTTCCTCATCTCAGACAGTGTGTGGTATGGAAATTGATGACAATTCTACACACACACACACACACTTGCAGTTTTCCAAGGTGAAGAAAAGAAAAAGTGGGCGAAAAATAGAGGGGAAGAAGGTTCCAGACACATGAGCAGCTGACGAGGCTGCAGCACATACATTTTTGTGTGTCAGGTATTCATCTTCCCCAGATCTTTTTTTTTTCCTCCCAAGGATATGGAAGCATAGACTAGAACAGTGAGGCTAGTGAAAGGGTTTCGTTTTTATAATGCACTGAAATCATTTCCTTATGGCTACAGAAAAACAGGTCATTTTTTAACTCACAAAAGAAAAATGAGAGCATGGGTAACCGTGTGGAGAAGAATATTTAGGTTTTGTAATTTCCTTTGGAAAAACATTATAATTTACTCAGAATGAATACAGTAGCTTTGTATTAAGATTATCAACAAGGATATGTAGTTCTGGAAATTTTAGCCCCACTGACTTCAACTTTCTGGATGAAGGCCCAATGAAAATATCTTCCTTATGGGTTAAAGAAGGAATAATGGGAGCTATTTATTTTAGCTATGTAAATGTATGCATTGTTTTCATTAAGGCAGACTGATTCCATCTTACATTGTGTGGTTTTCTTGTCTTAGCCTTACGAATCTGAATACAACTTCAAATGGGCAACATTTTCATTTAATACTAGATATCCCCCCCATCTTTCCTGGACGATGAACACTTTGAGATAATCTTGAAGTCATGCTTTGTTTTCTTCAGTGCTCAGCTTAAGTGTGATAACCCAAAGGGAGACTTACTCTTTCTCCTTTGGGACCTGCAGGGCCATGGGGTCCTATAGGGCCATCTGCACCCTAAAAAGAGATAAAATAAAATACTATGAGACAAGTGAGAGACAAGGACTGCAAGAAGAGAAGTTCTTATTTACTGTGATTTGGCTGGGAGAATGATGTCTTAGGATAACTTATCTTATTTTAAAGTACTTTATTCTTGACGGTTTTTCATGCCAGTTATTTTTGAGAAATTCATGCAACAGGGATGAAATATCTAATTGCATGCTTCAACAAAGACTATACACAAAGCCATATTTCATAGTTATTTAATCTTATCTGATGAAGCACCTTCATTTTGCTCTCATCATTTTTTTTTCCAGATTTTTATTTCATGTCTAAGTGTGAATGCTTGCATGCGAGTATGGACATTGTGTGTGTGCAGTGTCCATGGAGGCCAGAAGAGGGCACCAGGTCCCTGGAAGTGGAGTTGCAGCTGCTGGTCAGCTACCATGGGGGTTCTGGGAACTGAATCTGGGTCCTCTGCCAGAGAATCCAGTGCTCTTAACTGCTGTGCCATCTCTCCAGCTCCATGCCTTCATTATTGTCACCAGGGGTGTATAACTATCCTTCTTTTCTACCATCTTTTTCCTGGGTCTTTTCTCCACAGCCAATGACACCCATGGCCAAAGGCTCCAAACTTTGAAGTATAACTATCCTTCTTTTCTACCATCTTTTTCCCGAGTCTTTTCTCCACAGCCAATGACACCCATGGCCAAAGGCTCCAAACTTTGTTTTAGGCAAGTCAAGTGGAAAATGTATGAATGAAAATAGTGTTTAACTTTCAAAATAACCTTCTGCAGCTCTGTTGGGACAGGAAAGGCTGATGAGGAGGAGGGGTTCCTTTTAGGCTTTGCCCCCACCTTGCCCATCAGGCAGGTCAAGTGACTTGACTGACATACTGGCTTCTGTGGCAGAAAAGATGGTATCTGAAAGAATGTAAGAACTCTGGGGTCTGGTGAAAAATAATAACTGCCTGGTAGTTCTTAGAACTGAAAATTTTGATGCTTAAAATTGTCGTAAGGATTTCAAATAAATTTGCTCTATTGCCAGGAAGATTGTGCTTACAGTGGTAAAGAGGGAAAATGTTGTTTGCACTTATATGATTATTGCATTGCATTTCAACCTGTCTAGCATGTTCCCACTGTAGCTTGAGAGATTCCGTTAGAATGTCTGGATAGGAAAGAATTCAGTTTCAAATTCTTTCTCATGTTAGTGAATTCTTATCATCCTAATCATGCTATTATTGCTTCAACTCAAAGTTCACTTCCACAAGGCTTCTATGGCTAAAATGTAAAGGTTGAGCTGCTAAAAACAAAAGAGTGATAAAAATGATGGAGACACACAATTCACTTCATGAATAGAGGCCTGGAGGGGAATTGTAAGGAAGAAATTACATTTCTAAGGTGGACATAAATGTAAAGGAGAAGCAAGTAAAAATAAATTCCTTAATGTCACTACTTCAGGGGTTTCTCATGGGATTACAGGGAAGGTTTTATGAATTGTTTTAGTTTGCTGAGACACTAAAGGCAGCTGGACCTGGCATCCTTCTCTCAGTAAATTATCTAGATTGGAACTTCTGAAGATGTCCTGGCAGCTCAGCCTATATTTTCCATCTGCCACCCACACTCTTCCTCCCTTTCTACCATCCGAATCCACCTTCCCCTTTGATTCTTGCCCTAGGCGACCCCCTCATCATCTGGGAAGACCACCAGGAATGAAGGGGGTCTTTCCTGGAGCTCACAATTCATATCCATGAAGCATGTTGGAGCAGGACGTGGGGCTGACTCACCCGGGATCCTGGCTTTCCGTCTAAGCCAGATGCTCCCTGTGTGATTGGGTTGGTGTCAGGGTTGGTGGGTGTAACACGGATGACAAGAACAGAGATTAGTATGAGGCACTGATGAACAAATGCAACACTTCAAGCAACATAATACACACAGTTCTGGGATGAATATCACATTGCTACAAATAGTTAGTTAAAAAAGGTCACGTGACAGTACATGCCCCACAGATGATGGCATTTTAGTGACATTTCTACCAGGAAATTCTTATCTAGAAACCTGGTGGATGAGGTTTACATAGTTGGCTACAAAGTGCTTGCTGACAATGCATAGAAAGGGGGCTCCTAGCTATGTGTCTACCTGAAATTCATTTCCTGAAGGCTATTACCTGATATATTTCTTTAGATTCCGAAGGGAAAGTAATGGAGATCTCCCAAGAAAGGACTCTAGAACTCTGGCTACACTTGTCAGAAATGGTTTATAAACAAAAATGCTGAGTTTTAAATATACTGGGATGGCTTGATTTTATATGGATGATATTTATGCTGACCTAAAATTCACATTAGCTGCCACTAGAGGGACTTCTAGGAACGAGAAAAAAAAATGTGGGCTCAAGTTAAAATAAGTCCCATTTTGTCCCTCAGTTCAATTCAAATAATCTTTGCATTGATGTTTGCATGAAAAAATGCCTTAAACACCTACATTTCTCAGGTTGAGTCACTCGTTTCTTTATTTTGAATTGAGGAGGGTACCCATGGTGGGGGTGATAAAATGGCACTTTCTATGTTTGTTGCCAGAGTAACTATAATCTTTCTTCATGAGGCTCTTATATAGCAACACCTAATACTTGTTACTTTAAAGATCCAGATCACATCATGGAATATTTAAGAAGACACTGTGTTAGTGCTTTCTCTTCTCTGGGCCAGGCTGGAGAAATCTCTCTTAGCTTCCTGCTCCAGGTGCAGTTATTAACAAAAAATGAAAGAATAAAAAAATCTCATTTCAGCTTACAACAAAGCCAACATGTAACATTTGGGATAATTTGAGTTTTGTTTTTAAATTTAAATTTCCTTCATTATGATCCTGTCATGGTCAATGCTGTAAGTACAAAGGAGAGCTTTTGGTAGCAATGATTATGAACAGTAGGCATTGCCATTGCTTATTTAATGATAAGCCCTTTGGACATTTTTTAGTCACTATTATAACTTTTAAAGATAAATGTTAAAATAATATTTATATTGATCATAAGATTCTGTATCTAACTGGGGTGCAGAACTAATGGCTTACAAATGTTTTATGTCTATGATCCATTTACCCAATGGGCATGATTTAACTAAAATTATAACATAAACTTACATGATTCACTCAAATCAGTAAATGTATACAAAATACCTGCTGCATCTGACTTACAAGCCATGGTCTTTTGAGTGGATGTCAGTACTAGATGCACAGCACCCATGGGAAAAACGAGATAGGGGACCAACAACAATTTTTATCTCACATATCAAATATAGAACTATTTCCTCTTATTGGTTTTATAGCATATTTTACAAATGTAACCTAAAATATTATTTGCTGACTGTTTTCCTCATTTACTGAACAAACAACATGTTAAAAGCCCCAAATCAAACCATTATACTCAATAATAATTCTAAAGTCTTTCAAGTTGTTGAGGGAAGAATATTGGCATAAATATATGAATGGGTGGAACCCCCTTTTATCATGAATGAAAATCTTTACAACTGCAGAATATTTCTTCCAAACTATCCACTATTTTCCCATGAATCTCATAGCAGGGGATCTCCAAAACAGACAACACAAAACATATAGAACACAATGTGGTCGATTAATGTAAATAGCCAGGGCACTGACCTCAACAATGGCCAATTGCATACCTGCCACCACCAGAGAATGACAGTTTTTATAGACTCCAAGAAGATAAAAACAATTGAGTGAGGGGCTTAACCTGGATTACACCATAAAAGTGTTTGGGGGAGATTGACACTTTTTTAGAAGAGACAATGGCAGAACTTGTCTGTCAGCCTCACTAGAGCAAGGTTGGCATGTATGTAATTGACGCATGACAGAACATTTGCAGCATTGTTTGTTATGGGGTCACCCTGAGACACAGGATCAAGACACCAGGGAAACAAAACTGGGCTGTACTCTGCTCTGACACACTGTGTGAACGTTCTAATGTCAGGACTCTCAACTGTAAGATAACCACTGAGCAAACCAGCATTGTTACTTAGGGTAGAAAGAAAAATCTGAGATTTGCCCCGAAATGGAAAGTTTTCTTTACTTACTGGAAGACCAAGGGGTCCTCTGTCACCCTTTTGACCTGGGTCACCCTTCAATCCTTTAACACCATTTAACCCTGGTTCACCCTAAATGCAAAAGCAAATGCCAATTTTGGTTGCTATCATGGGGTTTAAACTGTGAGAGAAGAGACCCAGTCTCTGAAACACTTGCAGATTCCAGTTTTAGGTAACAGCGGAGTGAAGCTAGATTGGTTGTGCATCAATTAATAACCTAAGGTAAAACTTAACAAGCTAGAGATGACAAATAATATTCTAGAAAGCATGAAACTCAAGAAAAAGGATGTATCACCAAAATATGTATAGCTGACTTCATGGATTTTAGAGTTCTACCTCAAGGAACTCAGTATTACATTGTTTTGACTAAGCAAATCAGAGTCAATCCGAGTAAAGGATGCTGAAGGGATAAGTAGGAAAACCCCACTCTGCTGGAATTGAAAACTGGAATATGCAGGGCAGTGTTATAGACAGACATTTTAAGCCTTTAAGCATTTTGCCCAGGAGAATGGACTGAAAATGTAGACACTGATGTTTGAAGTAATGCCATTCTGCAAGTCCTCATTCCTTGACATTGCCAAGTCAGGTTCTTGCACAGATCAATCAATAGAGCTAACCACAAATTGACAGTCCCAGAAGACAATATGCAGATCAGAGAACCTGAATATAGTTTCCCTAACTGTCTGCACCATGTTAGAACGAAGGAAGTGCAGTTTAACATGGGATGACATTACAAGAGCCCTGATAAGTGGTAAATCCTCTTGACTCAGTTTAGGAAAAATCCAGGGATATAATATGCCGATTTGCCCATCAGTAATACCATGTTAGAGGAAGAAAGTTTGGACACACACACTTTCCAGCTTTTAATTACAGACATTCATTTGTCAAGAAAACATGGAAAGACTTGTGAAAGGAAGGTGACCTCACTGCATGGAGGTCATGCTCACGTTGGCTGAAGGGACTTGTAACCTGCACACTATGTGATCTGCCTGATGGTGAAAAGCAGTGTGCTGCTCACTGAGCACACAGTGGGTGAATCAATGACTGCATAGACAAGAATGCTCTTGAGAAACTTGTGGGGAATGCTGAGATGGAAGCAGCCATGAAATATGCTATACATTTGAAATGCTATACATTTGCTATACATTTGAACTTTCAGACAGCTTACATACTGCCACAGCATAATAGGATGGAAGCAGCCATGAGACCATGCTATACATTTGAACTTTCAGACAGCTTACATACTGCCACAGCATAATAGACTCGGCAGATTTTGAAGATATGAGTCTGTAGTGTTGCCACAGTTGAAAACCCAAATATTCTATAATTGACCAGGTTGAATCGCAAGGTCACAGTGCCCTAGTCAACAATGCACTGGTGGCAAAGGCTCATTGGTCTCCTTTCTAAATTTGAGATTCATGGCTTTGCATGTGAGGGTATTTCTAGTGTGTGGCTTTAAGATGATGAATAGGCAGAGAAGATTTAGCAGGCCATGAAATTCCTTGGTGGGGAAATCAATTATTGATAAGAATAGATGGTTCAATTTAAAAGTAGTCAAATCCAGTAGCAAAAAGGCCAAATTTCAAATCTGCACCAAATTCTATTACCAACCAGGTCACCATCTGTTCTTGTAACTTTGCATTAAGTAAGTGAACTGCACTGGGTTTGTGTAGCTTATCAGTTGCAAAGTCAAGGAACTAACATAGGTTATCTGAGGTCTTTTCAATTTTATAATTTGTTGAAATCAATGATGGAAATAACAACTATTGTGGGAAAAATACTTATATGTCATTTTCTGTATCAAAAGGATCTTGGGCTTCATCTAATTGAAAGGTTATGTGTGTGTGTCTCTCATGTCTCAGTCACCCCAGAATTAAAACAGTCTTGGTGGCCTTACTCTTAGTCATTGTAGTAACTGATACACTATCTTTAGGCTTAACCTGAAGGTAAGGCATTCGACGAAGAATGAGATGTCTGTTAACTCTTCCCCTTCTTGCGTTATCTGCCTGCCCATGAAAAGGAAAGTCAAGGATTCTTGTGTCAAGCCAGTATTGCTGGCAACCCTTTATAGCTGCGAAAGCCAAAGGGGAACTTGCCAACACCCAGGAAGGGGTGGCTGCTCTGGGCTTTCAGGTGCCTAGTACTAACACTGCATTTCAAGATACCCTCTGGGTCTCCGTAAAAGTACAGACAGAGACCATCTTTCCAGTGTAACCTGCACTAGTTCACCAAGGAGGACCGATTCTTCATTGCTCTGTTTTACACTCAAATTATGTGACATCACAGCTGGTATACCCCATCCTGTTCAACATTATGACCCATGGGAAATAAAACACTGAGATGCTAGGTAGCCAAAGCAGGTAGATGCTGCAGTAGGATGAGGCAAGAAAGACCTTCAGTTGATAGCAAATACAGAGCTATTGCCACCATAAAAAAGAAAGCTCCTGGCTTAGTCTGAGAACGTTATCAGATGATTCTTTTTTTTAAACTAGTTTATTTAAATTTATTTTATGTGCATTGGTGTGAAGGTGTTAGATCTCCTGGAACTGGAGTTATAGACAGTTATGAGCTGCCATGTGGGTGCTGGGAATTGAACCCGGGTCCTCTGGAAGAACAGCCAGTGCTCTTAACCCCTGAGCCCAATCAGATGATTCTTAAATGGCAGATTTTAATATACCACGTGCTTTAAAAACATATATAGTGACAAGGGCAAAAGTAAAATGAGGAATAATTTGTTTCCAGGTGATAGCACTTAAACTCACTGAGTCAGGTTGTATTGTGAGAGTTGAACATCTGGATGCTTAAAGGCTTAAACACAATCAACATTACTTGACAAATAAGACAGGACAGACATGCTTCCATCATGCTTCCCATGACCATCAAGGAAACAGAAATCAAATAATCAAGGGATTTGCTGGTACCTTTGGTCCAGGAAGTCCATGGGGTCCCTAAAAATGGAAAGCACAGCTTTAATTAAAAAGGGACTCACTGCTTCCTCCTAGAAATGCATATTCTATCAAGTATAAAGTGAGATGTAAAACAAGGATCGTCTTGTTTGAGCTATAGCCAGAGGCAGGTCAGTGGGATGTTATTTATTACCTACCAAATGTTCCTTCCAGCTCTTGGAGTGCTTTGTAATAGAAAATTCATTAAGAGCAATTTTGTCTGCTAAATGCCTACAAGAGGGAGAAAGTTGCTGGGGAGTTTCACTGAAGAAAAATTAGGCAAAAAGAGAGCCCCTGTTTTGTATTTACACTACAGGTTCTTCTCAAATTTCCATTTTTATAACCTGGTAGAATATTTGAGATGATTCATGAATTTTTATAGACTCCAGGATGAATGTAAAAGCCAGAAATTCGGGGAAAAAAATCTCCACAGTTTGAGTAGTAAGGAAGAGGAGATCTTTATCCTTATGTCTTCATTATGAAGGTGCTGAAGAATCTAAAGGGGACAGGAAGATGGCAGCCAAGCTTGGACGTCTGGAAACTTACTATTCATCTAGCTTAAGATCAAAGAGGGTGTGCCCTGTGATTTGGATTGCATTTATTGTTATAGAAATGAATCCTTTAAGGCTCTTCTAATAGTTGTTTATCAAGGAAAGGAGGTCATAATGAATGCATGAATCAGGATAAAAAGAAAGTTGTTTGGCAGAAAACACAAATATAGAAACTAATTATCAATTTAAATTAACTGGAGGTTGTTGTGGATTGCTTTGAACTTTTAAAGAGATTCTAATAAGCTATTCAGGGAGATGCATATTTAAATATCCATCGGTGAAATAAAACTGAAGAAAAAATAGCTGACCATGTAAGCTGAGCTATTTGTTATATATGTCTACAGTAGAGTAATGTTTTCCCTTTTGATAAGTTGCAGATAAACATTTTCAGGAAATGGCTCTCATAATATTCTTATCTCATGTTAATAATGGTTTAAAATTCCTTTAAGCTAATTAACGTTATCATTTGAACAGGATGTAGCATTTTCTAATTTAACCATCTGACTTAAAGTGAAAAGAGTATAAAAATCCCAAAACATGCCATTTGATTAATTCTTATTGAACTATTTGATGTTAAGAGAGCAAGGTTAATGGAAGTTGTTTACTAAAGAAAAGAGGCAATTAGTGAGACTTGGGTGAGCAGGCTACTCTGTGGCTGGGATCAGATCCACACTGCTCTCTCTAGAGTGCAATTAGTTGGAACAGAGAGCAGCCACACTTGCCTTCATCTCCATTATTGATGTCTTCCGCTTTATGAAGACACCCGGGAGATGAGTGTAACCTTATAGTCCTCCTTGTTCCTTGCTGTGTCAGAAGCACTCAAAACACTCTGCCTTTCACATTCTAGCCTAAGCACAACTGTTGGTCCTCCAGCATTTAGAGAATCACACTTGCTTCATAGCTGCCTTTCCCACTGGCAGTTCTCTGGGTCAGGAATGTTGTTTGCATTGCTTGCTGGGAGACAACTGCAGCAAACATGGCTTGGCTCGATGAATCACCAGAAGAGCCATTAACACGGAAGGAGAAAGATCCAGCACTCTCCATCATCTGTGGTAGCCAGCTTCTGTCATTATCACACTGTTTTACAAATGTTCTAATTGGCTAGTTCAGGGAAGGGTCTCAGGCTTCAAAGCTGCTTAGAAACCCTCTTCACTGGCTTGATTACCTTAACTTGCTATTAACAGCATACAGCAGCGACTCAGTAAGATGGTTTGCCAGTGTTCATGCAGCTTTGGAGTAAAGCTTGCCAGAGCCATCTCTCCTCAGCTCCATGTCTTTCTAACACATGTGTTTAGGGGAAGAATGATAGTTCTGTAAACTAGTCAGAACACTTTACTTTTTCTGTTCATTCCCCAGGAGCAGTACAAACCTAAAGTTGACTGTGTTCATCTTTTCTCCAGTAGGACATGCATAGATAATCAATTACATTTCATGGAGAACAGAACTTACCATGGGGCCAGGTGGGCCATGGGGACCTGGAGGGCCTGGTGGGCCTATGATCTGTATGTCCAAAAAATAAGCATGGGTGTGGTTACTTCATTTAGCATGGGCTCTGCTAATGCCATCAATAGTCACAGAGGAGAAAGGACACATGAGAAGTGTTATGCTTGATTCTCTGGCTTTAGAAATTCCTGTATGAGAATCAAATAACTTCAAACACTACAGTTGTTCTACAAAATCCCAGAGTAAATCAAAACTATATTAAAAGTAAAGGAAGCAACTGATTATCGAGAAAGTCTATAATGCTGCAACCACTATTAAACCATCAGTTATTTCACTAAGCACAAATAGGACTCTGGAGAAAAAGGGAATGCAAGTTCTTATTTCACTAGGATTTCCCTATGAGCATTATGGGAAATCCATTGATTTTTCTCCCTAGAGCTCTAAAAAATTGTTTCTAACTCAAACTTCTGAGATACACTGTCTCTCACTGTACAAGACCAATATATATCATGTATTGTTTGATCCACCCAGTGAGTGACTGTATTTCTATTACTGGTTAGCCATTGGACACAGAGGGATCTAGGCAAATAATAATCCCATGTGAAGGCTCAGCCCATGGACTTACAGAAGGACCCTGAGGACCCGGCAAGCCAGAGTCTCCTTTTTCTCCTTTCACTCCATTGGCACCCTACAAATAACCAGGAAGCAGAGTTAGCAGGAAAGTTATTTCCAAGGTCTAATAGACAACTGAAATTTGACTGCCTTGAAATTTTATATTATGCACATAATACATAAGAAATTTTATCCTCATGCACTTTAGTCCAAAGCAGTAAATTTACTAAAATCCCTAGGATTATGTGTGCTACACAAAGCAAAATACAAAGTAAATAGAAACTAGGCTGAGCCTGATTTTACAGTGCTAAATATACTAGATTATAAATGTTATTTTTTTAGTGGTGTGCCCACTTTAAATAGCAGAGGTGAGACTTTAGTTCCACTGACATTTATAGTTTCTTTTTAGAAAACAGGTAGAAGATCCATGCCCGGTGGCACAGGCCTGAGATCTTCGCTACTTGGGAGAATGAGGCAGAAAGATCAAACATTCAAGGCCAGCCTATGTTTCAGAGCCTATTCAACTTTTTAACAAAGAAAGTTAAAACAAAAGATACAGCTTAATGGTCGACTACTTGCTTGGCATGTTTGGGGCCCTAGGTTTAACCCCCACTACCAGCTGTAGGGTGGGAGAAGGTGGAAGGCAGAGAAGGTTCTCTGTTTTTTTTCTTATAGTTTCTATATTTTTCCCTTCTAAAGTTTCAGAGAAACAGTAAGTTGGGGGAATAACCATCACCCTAAAGTACAGACCATCCCAAAGTATAGACCAGGACAAAATATAAACCTCCACAAAGTATAGACCACCCCAAAGTATAGATACACAGACTAATCTGTTCTTTAATGGTTCTAAAGTTTTATGCTTGTTTATTTCTTTATTGTGGCTCACTTCATGATAATTACTTGACTACACATATTAAATTCAAATGGCCAATTCTATTTGCTTTATTATCTTCTAAAGAAAGTAATCCAGTAAAAAGAAACCAAACACTCGCCTTTTAATTGATATGTCTATACTTTAAAATTTTACTGTCCCACTTGGAAAAACTAAGCAACAATAAATACTTCAAGTTATTTAAAAAATGAAAAACATTTTGGAAATCACTGGCTGAGAGTACAGTTGAGAATAGAATTCTTTCCCAGTCATTTATTTCGGTAGGGGAACATCACAGTGTGTGAACACACCATAGGAACATGTCATAGATCATGAACGTACCGGCAATCCAGGAAGTCCGATTCCACCTTTTTCACCTGGCATGCCTGGGTCCCCCACATCACCCTTCGAGCCTTTGAGTCCCTACAAGTGATAAGAGTCTGCATGTGAGGAGAGTAGTGACAACCTGCTAGGCACATCCTGGGCCCAATAGGATTCCAGAGAAATCTGCCAAGGGGTGGGTGCAAGCTGAGACGAGTAAAACTTTTGTTTTCAGGTATTTTCTTTTTATGGTCTTCTGCATTGGATCAATAATATTTCCCTATGTAACAGGATTAAGTTCTATAGACCATTTAAATATGAAAAACATGAACTCAGGTTCTGGCATTATTTCTCCTGGTTTCATAAATCTGCTTGGCAACTAATTTCTATGTAACAGGATTAAGTTCTATAGACCATTTAAATATGAAAAAACATGAACTCTGGTTCTGGCATTATTTCTCCTGGTTTCATAAATCTGCTTGGCAACTAATTGTATCCCCTACCAGTCCAGAAGAGAATTTAATGACCGTAATTCTTAACAGTACAGAAAACACTTGAACCAGGACTTATAATAGCAAAGATCCAAGTAACGGTTCCCATTTCCACACAGTCATGCCCTCCTCGTCATTGTGTGTATAAGTTCTAGCTGTCATCAGTTTCCAGCACCAATGTGCAATCAACGCTTTAAAACACTCAGCTTGTTCCTGTTTGGTTCTCATGACATCTCCACATGGTGAGCCAAATGTAATTACTATCCTTTTAGAATGAGAAAATAGATGTGTGGGTTTTGAATGCTAACAAATGTGAGTTATGGAACACTAACATTGAAATTAATTAATATTTTTAAGCATTTTCATCCTAGCAACCTTGTGGCAATATGACCAGATGGTCATGGTTACCATGGTAGGGGATTCATCTTAAGGACAAGAACACATATTAGTTTGTTAACTAGCTTTCTACTGAGTTCAGAATCATCTACGGGGAAGTGGGGAATTACCAGCACAGATAAATAGGTCTTGCTGTTTAATCAGTAAGGTCAGTTGGTTTTACGGATCTTGGGACATGGAAAAGCAACAAGGCCAATCCGATAGGCTTAGTGGAGAACAGGACCTTACAAAGACATTGGGAAAAAACCTCAGCAACTGTATATACTGTATATTCAGGCACATTCATTATGTCACCATGCAAGTCTAATTTGTTATCTTTAATTACTAACAATGGGGAAAGGTTATCATTAATGTGATCTCTGATTGACATGGCAAATTGAATAACTTATCTTTTTTATAATATTTAATGTGACATTATATGACTTTAATATCCAACTCTGTTATTAAAAATAACTCTTCTCCTAAAGTATTTTTTTGTCTAATATTTTCTCCTGAAGAGTATATGGTTGATTTAGTATATCAAGAATTCTATTGATTTGTTATTCACTGATCCAAGCTATTTCTTAAATACAGTCAACTGTATTTTTTTTTTTTTTTTATTCTGTGTGTGGGCCTGAACATGATGATGTGTGCCACATGTGTGCTGGTGCCTGTGGAGACCAGAGGGGGGCATGTGGCACCCTGGAACTTGAGTGACAGGTGGTGTGAGCTGCCTGGTGTGGATGTGGGGAACCAAACTCAGGTCCTCTGCAAGAGCAATGAGTGCTTTCAACCAACAAGCCCCATCTTTCCATCCCTTGAGTGATTTCTAGAAAAAATAATAGAAGTCCATATAACCTCAAAGATTTTGAAACTAATCCTTGTGGTTTGATTCCTAATGCTGTCTGTATTCTCTTTGTAAAATCCTTAAAAGGCAGGGATGCCAAGCCACAGCTGACGTGCCAAATCCAGCCTAGGGACTGTTTTTTATTTATGTTGAATTTTAAAAAAGTCATGTTTAAAGAAAAGGACACACGACAGAGACGATATGCACCCGCAAAACCTAAAGTATTTCTATCAGAATTTTACAGAAACTTTAGCAGCTTCTGTGTTGAGGACACTCAGAAAGATACTGCTATAGTGTGCAAAGCTTTAGTGTGCAAAGCTATACTGTGTGAATTCACTTTTGTCCAATTTTCCAAAAGCTCTTGAAAATCAGGGGAAATCATTATTCAGAAAAAGGAGACATTATCAAATGACTGTAGATAAGCAATGCTATCTATGAAAGCTATGGCCATTGATTTTGATATTGAATTTCTTGTATTCAGCTAAAAACAAAAACAAAAACCCCCAAACCAAAAACCCAAATCCAAAGCTGTTCTTACTGATGTAATGATTTCAGAGTCTATTAGAATCAGTTGAGGTAGACTGTCAGGTCATGGTATCAACACAAAACAAAAGTAGCACACAGCTTTTCATTCTGCCAACAAAATTTATATCTAATTTAAAATCAATTGCATTTTTAGATTTCAAGTGGAACCAATGATGGGGAAAAAAAGAAAGGATGCATCAGATAGCAAAAGACATGACTTGGCTTTGAGCCTATAATAAAGTAGTGATCAATACTGGTGCTTTTAAATAATGGCACATATCTTTGAAAATTACCTGTTCTCCATCAACTCCGGGAATTCCTGGAGAGCCTTGCTCACCCTGGTAAAATAAAAAGAAAGAACTTGCCTGCATTTATCATTGCTACAGAAGCCATGCTAGTTGGTAAAAGTGCAGTTTGACTTTAAGCAAATGAATTTTAACCCAAGAATATGGTGGTACATTACATATATCTAAGCTAAGTGAAGGATGATCTTTCTTGAGAATTGTATGAAATAGTACTCATGCGTGGCAAATATCCGCTGCTTTTACTTCTCTTCCATTGGTTATGTACAATTCAGTGGCTGACCACATTCTACAGCAACACTTCTATGACTGTGTTAATCCCCAAGGAAGCAATCAGTACGGATTCTCTAATTTTCAGTAACAATCAAAACATAACAGTCAGACTAAGAAGGACTAAAAGGCAGAGTTTGGTAAATTTATAGCAATGTTTTAGCTGGCATAATGTGGAGCGTTCACAATGGCCATGAGTGTGCCCTGCCCAGGAAAGCTCCGCTGGAGGAGCTAATAAATCAGATGTCTTAATCCGCACAAAGTGGCTTTCAGACCCATTCCATTTCCTATGCTATGTCAGAAATAAAATGAATGGACTTTTAATAGTATGATTTATTAGAAGGTTTGACAGACTTGGAATGCAGAGATTTAATTTTTAAATGGAAGATGTTTAATTTATAACAAATATAAACAACATGCTAGAGATTATTTAAGCAGTATATGTTTAGTCATCTTTTAGATTTGAAAGATAACAGTTCTTTGAAAGATAAGGCATTGTTTCATACCACTGAGCTGTCTGTGTGGATGCTATTACAAGTCCCCAATTTCCACCCTGTGCAAAGTATGAAGATGATTCTGGGTGTGACTAAGTCCCCACGGAGGGGTTTGCCAGGTGCAGCCCTGAGGCTGAGTTTTCTAGGAAGGGTTGTTTGGGGATAGTATAAACCACAATATCCCATCCGCTAGACTCCCTTTCCTGGTAAAAACTTTAAGAGCTGTAGGCCACAGTATGAAACCCGAGCTTTCCCAGTGTTTAAGGAAGGCAAGGTCTTGTGGTTTCAAACCAATGAAATAAAAAAGGCCTTCCCTCGGTTCAGATTTCCGGCTCTTTGTGGCAGTAGCAAAGTTTATTTTGCCACAAACAAGTCTGCTGTGGTCGGATGCACCCGGCTGAACCCCAGCTTCACTCTGAGTCTGGATACCTGTCAACACTCTAGTCCAATCACTACAGCTTTGCCGAACTGCTACCCTTATAAATGTGGACCAGGGAGGCTAAAAGAACAAGACTCATAGATCCTCCGTCACTCAAATGTGGTCTGTAAGAGTTTTTTCATGTGTAAAACATTAAAATACCTCTTATTTGACACTGGAAGGAGAAATGCCAAGTGAACAGACTACCGTCAGTCTGAGACCATGAGTCCAGACCTGGGAATGTGTCCTATACTTGCCTCAGAATATGCTGTGCTATCTTATAGTGACAGACACACCCACCTCACTCGTCCCAACTTTCTCAAGGACAGATTGTGGGAAATATAAAGGTTGTCATATAACATGGTATTAGTGCTAAGACACAGGGACCGGTGGGCTGAGGATGACAGTATGGTGGACAGGATGGCGAAGTGGCAGGCAGTGAGGATGGGTTTGAAGCCTCTGTTACCACTCAGGCAGATTTCCATGTGGTTACCATCTTTCTTTCTTTAGTTTCAACTCAAACCCATCCCGGACTTCCAGACTTAGAGAGGCATTCCTATGCATATCCCCCCCCACTTATTAAAAATAGATTTATTTTTGTGTGTCTTTGTGCTGTGTGTGCCTGGTGCTCCCAGAGGTCAGAAGAGAGTGTCAGATCCTCTGAGACTGGAGTTAGAGATGGTTGTGAGTCACCATATGGGGGCTGGGAATAGAATCTGGGTTCTCTGGAAGAGCAGCCAATGCTCTGAAAAACCACTGAGCCATCACACCCTAGACCTCATCCCACATACTCTCAATCAGAGCGCCTACTCTATTAGTGATCATGCCTTCGGGTGCCTGTCTCACACCCTGGGTTCTAAGATCACAGTAAGTACAACCTCTTCCTGGTTGGTATCTTTGCAGATTCAAAACCATTATCAGAGTGAAGGCTCATAATTACTTCCTGGACAACTGAATTAACACGTGATTATGGAAGGTTTGGTGAGGCAGCCTTTTTAGCTGGGTAGCCTCCTTTGTATTTCTTTAGATCAAAGCAGGGAGCCTGCTCTAGGCCTCAGAGCTGTGGAGAAATCATGGAAGCCTTTGTGCTTTGTGGGAAATGAAGCACACAGTAAGCTTTGGAGAAAATTCTGGCTCTTGAGATTAAGTTCTGAGAGGAGTCAAAGCAAGAAATTTCATCTGGAGTGACACTACACACACACAAAAGAGAATTCCCAGAGTTCCTTCTATGTCTAGCTCAGCTCATCAAACTGTTAAGGAAAGAGGTCCAGGAAAAATGCTCGCCAGAGAGAAGTACACTGTGTGACTGTTGCATATTTGTGCTATGATTTCAGGGACAAGACTATGTAGAGAACTAGCTAAAAAGTTCCATACCATACATTAATGTGATATGTGGAACATGCTACATGTTACACAAAAAATGTTTTGGAAATTAGGATCTCTGCCCTGAGCACATCTCACAAAGACAAGGACCTCAGTCATATTTTATTTTATAGTATTTTAATAGAGAAATAAATCTCTCTATACACTGGACATTTTTTAAGTATCCAGAGAAAGTACAAAAGCTAATGTGTGCACGAATGTGTGTATGTATGATAGGCACAGCAAATTAACCAACTTAAGAAGCATAAATGAAAAGTGAATTTTGAAACCACTTGAATCTCCTACAAGAATCCACTGATGAAAGTTGTATTTCAACACGTGTAGCTGAGTCCTGAAAAGCCAGAATCCCTGGACATGTGTTAATTTCTCAGACATGGTTGAATAACAGAGCTTTAGTTTGGAGGGATAAAGCTAAAACCACCAACAAGGATGATGTACAATCAAGGAAATTTCGGATTGTGCTGTTTGTGGTTAGCATGCTTCATTCGATAAAATGTGTGGCTGGAAGTCTGAATACATGTGATAAAGAGAAGGCGTGAAAAACACGTCTCAAGAATGGCTCCTAATCCTGCCAGCCATTTATGAATGAGTGAATCATGGGAAGGTTTCTCCTTATTCTTCTCTTAGAAGAGAATTAGAAGAAAGGGTCTTTCTTAGTGGCAAGAGCAAACTCCCTTCAATCCTCGTCTGTCTGAATGTTTACCCTGTCCTACTGGCCATGTTGAGTGTTTCTTTACATTTATAATTTCCTGGAAACTTGCTCTTTCCTAAATTTGTGTCACTCTCCAATTCTCTCCATTCTTTCCTCATTTTGCTTTCTGCCTCCATAGTCCTCCCTCCTCGTTTATCTGAGACTCTAAAACCATTTCCTCCTCCTCTGAGACAGTATTTCTGGCCTTGCTTCTCTAGTACTTTGCGAGACCTATTTTATAAAGACATAGATTCTTAACATTGTATGTGGTAAAGGGAGACAAGGAAGGGAGGATAACCTTTGGCCCTTGTAGTCCTTGAGGTCCAGGAGGTCCGGGAGGGCCCTGAATCAAGACAAGACACAGTTGTAAAATGTAGCAAGTGCACATGTTGAAATTTCAGGCTTAAAAAATAACAAGCATACCACACAGCCCCATCATTCCTATCACAAGTTAGGTATGTCTAGATACTGATTTTCAATGGGAAAATGTTTAATATTTCATCAGTTACAGATGACAAAAACTGCCGACCTGAGTTCTGAACTATCAGTACCCTCTTCAAGTCACCATGCTACTAAAAACAAAACAAAAAACCAAAAAACTTTTGATTCAATAAAACAGTAGACAATTGTTGCCCTTGTTCTGCACACATCTTGTGATGAATTACCTGCCTGATGTCTCCCCTCCCTCCTTAGCCATCTACTTCAAAGGCTTTGGTTTCTTCTCTCTCTTTCCTTCTTTTTCCTCTCCTTTTTTCCTTTTCCTTTCTTTCTTTTTTTCCTTTCTTTCTCTCTCTCTCTCTCTCTCTCTCTCTCTCTCTCTCTCTTTTTGTGAGACAGGGTCTCTCTGTGTAGTCCTGGCTGCCCTATGTAGAACAGGCTGGCTTTGAACTTGTCTCTGCCTTGAGAGTGTTGTGATTAAAGGCATGCACCACTATTCTCTGCCAAGGCTATGGTTTCTGAGCTACAAAAGATCAAGCTTATTAACAGGAGGCAAACATCTTAAAAAATAAGTAATAACTTTTTCTGGACTTTCCCACAGAACAGGCAGTAATTTAACTAGGTCACATGTTTTAAAAGGTTAATAACATAAGCATAAAGTACACACCAGATAAAACCAATTGCTACATTAGTGCTATTTTGCCCTGCATGCATCCCTATGGAACTCAAAGTCACAAACCACAGATATCATGCAGAAGGAATTACCGTGACAGTTAAGGTAGTAATCCTCTGTTGGGAAAATGGAGTAACAAAGACAAGAGTTACCTATTTTGTGTGTCAAAATAGAGTGACAGATTTCTGAAAAAAAATCTACTTCTAAAATATATTTTGGCAAGTTAAATGTCTTTTTAACAGACACTATGGTGAACATCTTATCCTGTCTTCAATACGACATACTTGTAAAGGGGTTGGAAATATTTTTGGAATTTTATTTTAAAAATTATAAGAAAACAAAGCATTAAGATTTTTCATTTGCCTTATTTTTAAAATTGACACAATTAAAAAAATTATATTGTTAAGTACCTGTATGCTAAAGGTTGGTCAGCCTAATTGTGAATTGTGAAATTTGCTATTGGTTAAAAACTCCATTCTAGATACTACTTTGATTTGGGAAAAGTGAAATATCTTTATTCCTGTACTCTGTAATTCATTTTTTTTACATTATAATCGACTCCACTCCCCCCCAGCCCCCCCCATGTGTTTTAACCAGAGAAAGTGACATTGAACTAATATAGCTTGTTGAAGTGCCAAATATATTTAACAAAATATATTGTTTCAAAGCATGGACTTCCAAAACATGATTCCTACTTTGTGATTATGTTTTGTATTTAATATAGTTTATAGTTTACATCTTTTTGTTTGTTTTTCCAGACAGGGTTTCTCTGTGTAGCTTTGTAGACCAGGTTGGCCTCGAATTCAAAGAGATTCGCTTCCTCTGTCTCCTGAGTGCTGGGATTAAAGGTGTGTGCTATCACTGCCCAGCTTTACAGTTTACTTCTTATGCTAAGAGCTCTCCCTGCCTTACTGAAACAACAGAAAGTCATTTCCCATTCAGGCCTTTTGGTTATAGAGAGATAGTGTCTGGTGTTATGTAAACTTAACACCCCACTTTGTGTTCCATCATTGCAGTCCAATCTCTGATTTAATACTTGGTTGCCATTTTTACTATTGCTGTTGTAAGAAGTAACCTTAATGTTTTCTATTTCACTTTAAATACTTCCATGACTCTTTAATGACATAGTTCCTAACTTCCCTTAAAAAAAGACACCATGCTTATATATGTTTGATTCAAGTTTGTATTGCATGATAAATGCAGTTGATGTGATTACAGCTTCAGATAATGCAGCAAAGAAGATTGATGTTGCTGAGACAAAGGCAAAATGTCAATAAACTAAGAGCAAGTTTTTATATGTATCCAGAATTTTATGTCACCAGAGCTATACAATACAAGGTAATGCTTACACTATTTTAAAGAGGTTTCCCTAGGTACAACAATTGCATTTATAGCCATGAGAAAGCTGTTTTGTTCCTATGATTTAAATGAGTCATTTACTAAGACAAGGAAATAATAGAGTAATTTTTTCACCATTGTCCTTCAATCATGTGTTGTATTTTGAACTAGAAAGCTGAATTCCAAAATTTTATGAAGGTAAGCAGTTTTATAATTTGAATTATCTCAGATTTTCTAACAAGGTCACATTCACACTATTACATAAATAAACATGTCTTGTTTGTCCTTTTTCTTAAAAATGTTAATGCTAACAACATTTCTTTTAAAATAATGAGCTGCATAATGAAAAAAATCATTAGTAGCAAATGAACTAACAGAAGAAGTTGAAATAATGTACTAATAACTATTTGAGAGACCTCAAAATTGTTAAAGTTCCACTGTAGCTCAGAAGGGAGCAAGAGGTCACAAAAGTCAGCTAAGTTCACCAGCATAACACCTTGAACTCCCGTTGGAAGCAGCCATGTGCAGTTTCCAGAGTCGTTGTACAATGTGGACTCTTCAACGTATAAGCTACATAATCCAAGCAGGATTCCCTTGCGAATGCTAGTCATGATTTGAAAACAAGAAGTTTTGGAACTGATGGAGAACAACACGATAGTCCAGTGACATGGTGATCTGAGATGGGAGGCCGAGCTAACAGTAAATGTCAATCTTATGTTTTATAACTCATTTTGGGATGGCTGTGTGAAAATCCTGCCCAAATTATAGGTTATTCTTCTTCACTTTTCATTATGATGGGAAATTAAGTTCCTTTTACAGAAGCAGGAGACCATTGCAGAAAGCCACAACATGTCCAATTGCAGAATCAACTGACCATGATGGGAGTCAGGGCCCTGCCCAAAGTGATACATGTATTATATCACTCTTTTACCTTAAGGCTCAGCAAACATCTAGAAAGAGGGGATAGAAAGAGTCTAAGAGCCAGAGGACCTGGAAGACTTCTGTGAAACTGTTCCTTCTACATATGACAAGGGAAGCTACATTTGTAAAATGTCCACAGCATGGCTGCCTGAACAAGACCTGAGCAATTCCAATAGTTGACATGGCAATGTAGAAGGGAAAAATATCCCAGGGCCTTACACTCCTAGATGAATCAAGCAATTAACAACTTCCAAGAGAGAAAAAAATTAGTATTCCCCAGGGATACACCCCTGCTGTAGAAGAATCTTTGTACACTGTAAGAATGTATTACTCTCATTATTTAATAAAGAGCTGACTGGTCTGTGTCTAGATAGGAAGAGGCTGGGTGGGAGAACCAGACTGGGAGGACGCTGGGGAGAAGAAGAGTGGAGTCTCAGGGTTGCCAGCAAGATGCAGTGGAAGGACGAGAGAAACATGCCATACTGAGATAAGGTACCGAGCCACATAGTAGAACATAGAGATATGGGTTAATTAAAATTGTAAGAACTAGTTAGTAACAAGTCTAAGCTATCAGCTGAGCATTTACAATTATTATTGAGTGTCTGTGGTTACTTGGGAGTGGCCGGGACAGAGATGACCAGTGGTCACGATGAAAAATGCCCCCTACACTCCCCTAAATGGTTGTCCTATACCAAGGCATCAACAGGCTGTATTCATATTCATTCCTTTCTATGTAACAATAATGATTATAAAGAAGAGGCGGCTGTGGATTTGGGAGGGTGTAGGAGGGGTTGGGGGAATGATGGATGTATCTTAACCACATAAGAAGAATCATTATCATAGTAAAGGCAGTGTTAGTGAGAAAACAATTTTAAATCTGACCTGGGAGACAGAGATGTTTAATTGTTAATTATGAATCTGTAGCCATCTTGAATCAAAACAAAAGGCCAAGGTAATGCTTAAATAAACCACAATAACTTTTCTATGGACCAACATAATTTAACCACCTTTCCAACAGAATAGACACAAAGGAGTACTTTGAAAACAAGAACAAGGATAGCACATGTTGACATCGGAAATGTGGACCTTTCACTGTGAGGAAGACAAGACTGGGGAGTCTGGAGGCGTGATGGGTAGAAAGATAAGATGGGCCAGCAGCTGAAATAATTTTTTTGATAATGAGATGCGTTAGGTTTTTATTTCACTCTAACTTTAGCTTCAGTCAAAAGGCTATAATCGGCAGTTTGTTATATGACTTTAAATTTTGTTGATTATTTAACTACAAATGAATGGATGAAAATCATAAATACCAGATTCAGAATATCTTAGGTACATAATATGCAGAGTGCAACTATTTTATCTCTCACACTGGATATTGGATACAGAGAAGTTACTTAAACTAGTCTTGGTATTTTTTTTTCATGATCTGAACTATTTCACAGAATAACATAGTTCTACTGTGATATTGCAACTGTAATACATTGCTATCCATGTAGTTATTCTAGAGTGTTAGACAAAATGTTTTTAAAGGGCACAATAATGAAATAAGCATCATTGGTTAGACACCGAGGAGCTCTTCTCCCACTAATGTATCCCTGACTTAATTGATTGATCTCATTAATTTCACTAGAGACTCTTAGTTCAGGAACTCATGAATTCAGGAGGATGATGGCTCCCTTCTTTTCACCCTTCAACTGAAAAATGACTCTAAGCTCTTTATAAACACGGCATACGGCTGACCCAACAGTAATATATCATTTCGTTTGGAGACAGAATATAATCAGTGATGGATATTAACTGGATACTGTTTACAGCCATATAGCACTTGAGGTGGAAAAAAAAAAGAAGACACTGGAACTGTGTATCCTTTCATTTCTAGGAACAACTGGCAGATTTATTTTCCAAAAAGTATAGTGCTTTCAGGAACGTCAGTAAAAAGTGCTCAGGAGCTCCTAAAAACCACCCTAAGGATAACATTGTATTTTATGAGCTCTCATAAAAAACATCCACTTCATTTTGCAGACAAGGTCAGTGAAGCATAGATAGTGATTTCCCTAAAATGACCCAGCTCCTAAGTGGTAGAGGGAAGAATGGAACAGAAATGCCCACTTCAGTATAAGCATAGCCCATATGCCTGTTCATGCAAAAGATGCTTTAAAAACACTTCAAAACACTGCAGAAAATGCCATGGGAGCATTTCTTGGAAGGATAGAGAGAGGGAGCCCCTTGTGATAGTTTGGATGAGAAATGTCTTCTATGGGTGATGTATCTGGATGCTTGATCCCCAGTGGTGGCACTGTTTGGGAAGGTCATAGAACCTTTAGGAGGAAGTACACCACTAGAGGTGGCCTTTGAGGGTTTATAGCAAGACCAGTCCACCCCATCCCTGCTCTCTCTGCTTCCTCTGTATGGACACAGAACAGAGAACTGTCATCCTGCTCTTCCTCTGTATGGACACAGCACAGAGAACTGTCATCCTGCTCCTGCCTCCAAACCTTTGTTGCTTCTCACTGTGTCTGTTCTACCTTGATGCACATCATCCTACTGGAACTATCAAAGTTCTCTTCTACTTTTTTTTTTTTAAGACAGTAAGTCTCCATAGCACAAAAAGTAACTGAACACCTTTTACAGGTGGAGACAAGGCCTATAGGGCAACTGGAAGTAGTTTAAGAGGAATGTATAACACTGCTAATAAAGTTTAAGAGCTGTCTCTGTTTTACTGTGTAAGAATTTTAAAAACATTGCCGGTCCCCCCCAAAACAAACAAACAAAAAACCCTGCCTGTTCCTTGTCTCTGACCCTTCATATATAATTATCAACTTGTAGTGGGGAAGGGAAACATTTAGAAAACTGGCTCAAGAATTTGACAATAACCCCAAGGTTGCTGTTTATGTTTAAGCCACTTGCAATGAGGGATGCTAAATCAGGCAGTTGGATGATTTAGCATTGATGTTCAATCCACATTTGTCCAAATAGGACATAAAAGTATAGGTCTATGAAAATCAGACCACAATGATGAAACCGTGAGGATAGAAACATTAAAGTAGGAATAAAACATAAGGACTTGTTAAACTATCTAGTTTGTTTTTAAACTAAGAAACGGCTTGTACATAAAAAGTCACATCATTCATTCAACCACTAATTGGTAACTGTTCACTGCACATTTGCAAGCCCAGGCAACAAAAACATAAGACATATTTTCTGTTACCAAGAAACTTGTAATATGGTAGTGGAAAAAACTAAAACCAATTGTGTGATTGGAGAGCAATCATATATCACAATATTGGCCCCTGACTTCTCATGTATGGACTCAGCTGGTGACAGCAGTGAGTTTATGGATCAGAGTCAATGAACAAAAAAAATGAAAAATAATGGGATGATCCTAGGCAAAAGAGATTTGTAGAGATATGATAAGAATTATGAGAATGTCATAGGAAATAAAGGAATATCTTGGCAGAAAAGACAGTACTGTAGAGCCTGAACTAATGTCAGATAGAGGAATTTGGTCTTGATTCAGTAGGCTACAAGCACTCATGAAGACATTTGAGCAAATTAGAGCAATCAAAGTAACAACAGCTTATGAAAAATTAGCCTTAGAGACATATACCAGTTATATTAGAAGGGCCAGGAGACACCAGGGAGGCAGACTTGGCCACAGGATTGGTATAGTATTAGCCAGGGAATAAACAGGATGTGGACCATTATTTGGGAATGGACAGAATGGGTAGTGTTGAGATGCGTTTTGAGAAAGCTCCTGGTATAACACTGTAAGGACTAAGAACAGTTATAAGAGGCCTCTAAACCTTCTGTTCAAGCAATAGGAAGAAGTATGGTATCATCAAAAGCTAGCAGTTAGTTGATAAAGTGAGTCATCCAGTAGGTGAGAAAAGTACCCAGCAGAACTAACTTGGTGTATTTGTGGAAGTCAGTAAGAAAAATGTGGCCATGGAGAAACTCTTCTAAATAGCTGGAGCCATACACAGACTAGACCCCAGAAATCACAGAACTGTCAGGAAACACAGAGGGAGTAACTGTTCTACCTAAGGACAGATCAGAGACTTCAGGCTAGCAAAAAAAAAGGTCAGGATGGATAAAAGGAGTGAAATGCCAAAATATAATGGCTTCACTAGAGGAAACGAATAAAGGAAACTAGAGCAGAAGGTCACATAAAGCAAAAAGAGTTTTGGAAGGTGATTTGGTATGAATGCCACAGGAAAGTCAAGGGTGGTCATTATTGAATAAAGGAAACTAGAGCAGAAGGTCACATAAAGCAAAAAGAGTTTTGAAAGGAAGGTGATTTGGTATGAATGCCACAGGAAAGTCAAGGGTGGTCATTATTACGGACTTCACCTGAAGGTCACCACTATGTGATGACAGATACTGTAATGTATGCATGTAAACATGGAAAGGATGACTAAGAAGCAAGGGTTGTAGAGCAAGCTACATGGACTACTTTGTGAACTATTTTTCACTGAATGAAAAGAAACAAATTGAAACATAAAAACCATATAGAAGGCCACTATGTGCCAAGGGCTGTTCAGCGTGTGTCATACATTTAGCCATTTGCTATCAACAACCCAGTGTGGTAGATACTGTTAGTATCTTCATTTCAAATACAGAGAAACAGAGGCACACAGAAGCGGAAGAACTGGCCAGGTCACATCTCTGGTAAGAAAGGCAGTTGAAATCTGAACTCAAGCAGTTCCTGTTCAGTTTTGTGAAATTCTCTATTAGAGCAAAGGAAGCAAAAATTTGCCTACACTAATGCAATGTTTATACTTGATAAGGTTTAGGAATATTTAAAAGTATAAGGGAAACAAAAACAAAGCCTAGGAATTTAAAATGCAAAAATGAAAGACTACTGGGGCAGGAGACAGGTGGGCTGGGAAGAGAGGTGGGTGTATATGCTTCAAGTGAGCAGTGAAGAGAGAACTCACTGACGAGTTACGTGGACCCATTGTGGTCATGTGAGTGAGGATGTCCCCCACAGGCTCAGGTATTTGAACACTTAGTCCCCAGTGGGTTGTTCTGTTAGGGGAGACGCTGCTGCCTTGCTGGAGAAGTACATCAGTGGCGGTGAGTTTTGAGAGTTCATAGCCTTGCTCCACTTCCAGCTTGCTCTCTGCTCCATGTTTGCAGTGAAAACGGGAGTCCTCAGCTCCCTACTCCTGATGCTGTGCTTTGATGCCATTACGAACTCTAACCTTCTGAAACCATAAGCTAAAATAAACTCTTTCTTCTACAAGTGGCTTTTTGTCCTGGGTATTTTATCACAACAACAGAAAACCAACACACTTATCTGTCATTCTCCATGTGTCTCAGGGCAGAGAAAAGTCACTTGCCTGTAAGGCCTCGTGGAGGTTGCCATTGTAGTCTATGATCTCAGTAGCTCCTGGATCTCCCTTTTGCCCAGGTGGACCCTGTGACAAAAAAACAAACCAAGGGAAAGTCATGGGTGTTAAACTAATCAAAAGATGGTGGCAGAGTGGAGTAGCTCGCGTCCTCCATGTTTATTTCCTTACTATGATGCAAGTACATTTCAGAATAATAGCTACGTTTAAATTTTGTTCATGTTGTAAAGGAGATGGGCCACTTCTAACTTTCTGTTGATGGTAGATGTGAAACTGACTCCAAGGACACAAGTTAATCTTGTGCCTTGCAAAGTATTCTTGATTTTCTTTGTATTTATTATGGCAACTCCCGACCTCTTTCTACTCATTTACATATCATAGGTTGCTTCCTCATTCTTTAAGAAGAGAGCAATGATGAGCCTTCCCCAGTAAGAATCTTATCCCATATTTCCCAACTTATCCAAAACTAGAGGAAATACAAGTCAAGAAAATTATACACCCACAAATACACATCCGTTAGTAAGAATACACAATCTCTCTACACAGTCTAGACTTCTATCATATACAAGATGTCTGCTGCACACTTTCCATGACCTGTGTCCTTGTTCTCTGACTTTTCTCAAGAGTATAAATATATGGACTATTGCCTTAACTGAAAAAATGGAAGTTTCATTATCTGGGTTTCTGTGGCTTCATACTACCTTTTCTCCAGAATTAAGTTTATTATATGGTAAGGATCTCTACATGACCTGCTGCTGAATAAAAAGTTAAGAGCAAGGAGGAGCTAGCAGTGGGAATAATCACATCTACCACTAATGGTTTTGACTGTACACTGTCCATTCAGATGCTTTTTACAGTCACACCATCATGATCTCAAATCTGAGTTTAAGTCAAGAGGAATACTCACCCGTGGTCCCAGAGCTCCAGAGTCACCTTTGTCTCCACGATCACCCTTTGCCCATGAAAAAAGAAAATCACGAATTAGCAGCAAGGCCAATGATAGACATCTGTCACATCTAATGAGTTATTTGTACCACAGCGAGTCACTTTAAACACAAACGGCAGACATATGAAGCAGCCACAACCAACAACATTGTAAATGCCCCCTACAGATGCTATTGATGGGTGGGTAAACTTCTTCCTCAGAACACAGGGCATCTTGAACAATCAGACACGCTATATACTCTTTGGCCAGGATTTTCAAATGTGAAGTGAGTGATTTCTAAGGCCCCAAAGTAACATTTATCTTCAGACTGGGCAGGGTTGTTTTCCTTTGGAGGGATTTTGAATAAAGGGAAAAGGGAGGAGCCACTGTGGCATCTGTTCTCACAGAAGAAAATACAGATAACAGGGACAGGAAGGAATAGAGAGATCATTCTAGGGAGAATGGAAATTTATAATCAGACGCTAGAGCTCCCTCTGATGACAGTAGCTACCTGTAGCTATTTTAACACTACTCTACAAGTTGACAGCAGTCAGCTAGACCAGGTTGGCCAGACTTCTTTATCTTAGCACTCTCCTTCTCCTCTCTGTCCTCACCTTTCTGCCTCCTCCCCTTTACTATTTCAAAGCAATACAAAAACATCTCTGGAGTTTTATCTATGGTGTCATAACCCCACCCACTGAGACACCAAGAATAAACAGACTACACTCTTCAAATGATCAGAAGTCTAAAATAACAAGTAGTGGAAAAATATTAAAATCTGTGTATATTGAAAGGTTATTTAAAATAGCTTAAAACTAGAGCCCCTTTTCTATATGAAACTTTTTTAACAATAAATTAATCTTTTTTTAGATTTTATTTATTTATTATGTATACAACATTCTGCTTCCATGTATATCTGCACACCAGATCTACCAGAACTCATTACAGATGGTTGTGAGCCACCATGAACTCAGGAATTGAACTCAGGACCTCTTAACCTCTGAGCCATCTCTCCAGCCCTCTATATGAAACTTAAAACATCATCTGTTTCTCTACCTATTTACATGAAGTGGATAAGGACCAATGAAGATAAGGACAAAGGGGGTTGTATTTTTTCTCAAGCATGTTATACTAGTAATACTGGTCATGACAATTAACTTCACCATGGATAGGGAATTAATGGCCTCTATTCTCTAGTCCCATTTTGTTCTTTTCCCTGTTATCAACATTTTAAGAGACAGTATACATGCTATTTCAGATAGTATAAGCATCATGACAAAGGGATAACTCTGCTATTGGGGTGACATTTTATTTTTATTATTATTTAATTGTGTGCATGTGTCTGCATTGTATCACAGAGAGTGTGGAGGTCAGAACATAACTTTGGGTGTCGATGCCTGTCCTCTTCCACTTAATTTGAAACAGGGTCTCTCATTGGTGATTTCCAGTCTAAGCCAGGCTAGCTTCCGAGGGAGTCCCTTGTCTTCCCTCCTATCTTCTTGCAGGAGTGCAAGGATTACGGATGCCTGAGTTATTTTGTGGGTTCTGGGGATTCAAACTCAGAGCCTCACCTTGTATAGTAAGTAGTTTTACTCATTGAACCATGTTCTAGTCCTAGGGTAATATTCAAACTCTCTAAATGGAGTTACATAACAAACCAAAGTATAACACAAGCATTTGGCAACAAAGATAGGAAATGAAAGTTAAGAGCATACAATTCATAAACTGCTTCTTTTCCCAAAGAAGCTAATCTCAAGAAACAGGACATATACTCTCCCTGAAAGAATAGTGTGAAGGTGGCTGGCGAATAGCTAAGCAGGTAGAGGCACTCGCCACCAACTCTGACAACCGGAGGTCCATCTCCAGGTCCCAAACTGACTCCCACGAATTCTCCTCTGACCTCCACATGTGTGTTGTGGCACATAGCATAACACACACACACACACACACACACACACACACACACACGCAGACACACACACACATACACACACACAAGAATAGCCTGAAGGATGAGAGCAGATAAAAACAAGGGGGAAAAAAAGCCAGTGTCTTGTGATATAATCACAGGGACAAACGAATATAAGCCCTGAAGGACAGGTTTCGTCTACAACAGGATTCTTGTGGAAAAGGCAAAAGACACTTATCTTGAAAGCCTGAAGCCACATCAAAATGGTTATTGTTTACTGACCTTTGACCCCTTTGGGCCTCTAGCTCCTGATTCACCTTGTTTCCCCTATTGTAAGAGAGCATGAAGATGAGAAAAAGAATGACAGGGAAGATAAGAACAGTGGTTCAGAATAAAGAGTATCATGACACGCTTTATCTTAACTGTCCGGCACAGTGCTGTATGTACTTTTGGTTATTCTAACACACAGAATGCACATTGCTGCCGCAGGAACTCACTCCCTGGTCTCTGCCAACCTCTGTCCATTATGACTCCAAGACTGGTTTCCATCAGTAGTTGGCGAGAGCTCTGAAAGTGACTCTTATGAGTCTCAACAGTGCTTCTATGCTTAGACTTCTTTTTCAAAGAGACTACATCACTCCTGTCTCCAAGAGAGGCTGGTTATTAGAATAGAGTACGACCATGTTAGCTTGCATAACGTTTAGGTAAATAGAGATTGCATAGGCAAATAAGTCCTTAGCTCTAATATTTTCAAGGTGTTACACTCCGTCAAGTTACCATGGAAATGAACAGAGCACTCGGCAATGAGGATTTTCTCAGCTGGCTGTAACACACTTGTGTGATAGTATATAACATGACAGCAACTCTCCTTCACATCCTGATATGCTATGAATTTCTTCACTGAGCTGCACAGAGTAAACAAGAAAAGTCAAACTGCAAAATTAATAACTATCAGTGTGCATTTCCATGAGGTGTTTGTAATTGGGGTGGCTTTAGTATCTTTTGAAGAGTTAGCTGCATATTCTACAGCAAGAGGCGAGCACTCCCAAACTAAAAAAATGCTCTTTTCCAATATAAGAGTAACTGACCTTTGGTCCTGGGGCTCCAGGATCCCCTCGTTCACCTCTTCCAGGAGGCCCCGCCTCTCCACGTTCACCCTGTCACAAATTGCAAAACGGATAAATAGCATCCTCCCCATGGCTGTTCCTTGGAGAAGAATGCGGGAGTTTGCTAAAACAGAGGTAAGCAGAGGGCCACAGCGTGTTTACAGCATGCCTGTACTATGTCAATCTTTGAACACGAATACACAAAACCATCTGAGGTTGTTAACTTTCGGTGCCAACGTGGCTGGGTTAAGGAGCATTTATGTAACGTATGTCAATCTTTGAACACTTATGACCCTACTTCATACACAAAACCATCTGAGCTTGTTAACTTTCGGTGCCAACGTGGCTGGGTTAAGGAGCATTTATGTAACTGCTGGAGCATTCTTATTGTTTTTATCAGTGTGTTTTCAGAGGAGATTGCACATCGGCCAGTGGACTGAGTGGGGAGGGTCACCCCTAAAATATGCAATTGGCCTCCCCTGCTGGGCCTCGCTCTCCCCCTGTTCTGGTGGATCTACTCTTCCACCTGGCCACCTTCTCTTCTCTCCTGGCTTTATAGCTTCAAGCTCAGTCAATATAACAGTTCTCATATTAACAGACAATTTACTTCTTTTCTGTCTCTCTCGTTCCCTCTCAAAAAGGCCTATCATGTGTGAATCTAAAACAGAATTTCTTTAATGGGCCTGATAGTGCATTGTGTGAAAATGCGATTTCTTTTTGAAACAATTTTGCATAATCCTATGAGTTCCAGTCCCCTTAGGCAATGAATAGTTTCCACTTGCTAGGATTAGAGTTATTTTCACTTGACCTAAGCAGAAATGAAGAGTAGTCTGTCTGAATAAACCATGACATATTTCTCTAACTGTTGGAAATCACCCCTGGCCTATTTCTAGTGAACTGAGACCTCACCAAGGCAAAGTCTGCTGTGGTTTAAAATGAACAAATATAAGTTGATGCCACTTTGCACTTCTGATTCGTGAGTATGTGATAAGTACAGCAGCAGCATCAGACTCCTATCCTTTTATGTCTTACTGGGCAAGTAAGAGAGAACTCTGGACTTGACTCTGTAGCGCTGTATTCTTTTTGCGTGGAAGCATGAAGTTTTTACTTTCAGGGTCCCCTTTAAGATTGCCAAGTAGAACATTAAAAGATGGTTTTCATTATAGAATATGTCTGCAAACATCATTCAGGGTAGATCTTTTTGGGATGAAGTATTTAGAAATCTCTGTGACATCCATGGGGATGAGATTAATGTCCAATTTACAAGTGTGTGCTAAAATGGGTGAGGAAGAGCAGGGGTTGGTGAGCTCTAGCCCCCTCTCTCTCAGCTACCTTTCCATGTCATCAGGAGGCTAGAGGCATCACACTTATTGAGGAATCCAGAGGGCAAACTTGAACTACTACTATATTCTACCTACCTACTGATGTGCCTAGAGCTTCCTGGATATAACTTCCAATGCATGCCATTAATAGATGGATTAGGCTGCCTCCATTCTAAGGCAGAAATATGTGGCCATCTAAACAGTGGAGTCCTCCCACCTTTCTTTCAGTAGGGATGAGACAAATTTTACAGGAAAGCAAGGGGGATAAAGGTCTACTTACTTTTGTTCCTGGTAACCCTGGTAAGCCTGGCTCTCCTTGAGGACCAATGAAGCCTGGTTCTCCCTTAAAAAAGATGAGCATGCAAGACATTATTTATCTGACATCTTGCTCAGTTCTTCCACTTGCGATTTTACTTCCTTGATTGTGTACAAGCATCTAGCTGAGATCATGCTACTTACTAAAAGATGAAAACTCTGAAAACTCAATGGAAACTCAGACCACTCTGAGCTCTAGAGATGCTTTAGCAAGTGGCGAGGTCACTGGACATAGGTCTTTATAATAATTTCTTCCACCATCTGTCTGGTGTTTGTCATTTACCACACTAAAGCTTATTGTGTTTGGGTGGATCTGGAGAGTCCTATAAGACCCTATTCCTGTGTCCATAGCCTTGTGAAATCTCTTCCTCTTGAGTCAAGAGTAGACTCGCTATGTAAATCTAGTGAATAAAATATTCTGGGAGTGATGGGACATCACATCTGGATCTAAGCTGTGAAGAGTGATTTCTGTTTGGGGTGGGTCTTTCCTGTATCTTCTCACTTGGATCACCTGCTCTGAGCGGGGTAAACAGCCCTGCTGTGAGTAGTCCAATGGAGCTGCCACAGTGTGAGAACTGAGGTCTGTCAAGACCTCTGCAAGGGAGCTTGGGAGTGGATTCTCCATCCCCTCAGCATCTGCTAAAGAGAACACAGCTATGGATGCCTGCTTCCTTGCAGTCTCTTTGGGGACTCAGAGTCAGAGGCACCTGCCATGCTCTGCTTGAATTCCTGTCCTTCAGAGACTGTAAGCCAACAGTTTCAGCGACTACTTTCTAGGGTAAGGCAGTAGGCAACAATACATAACTGATACAATGACTATGACTGGGGGACAGTATAGTAATGCTCAACATGAAAATCTCCTTCTTGCTATACCTCTCAAATAGTATCTCTACTGCCTGGAGGAAATTCATCTGTGGCATAATAAATGGTACCTAGGTCTTGGCCTAGATCCTCTAAGACTTAGATTCCTCTGGTATGGGAATGGTAAGGGACATCTTTTGTTGCCTGTAACTGGTCCCTTCCAACGACATGTGAATTGATACAAACAGGAAACTCTAAGTGAGCCCCCTAGATATTGTCAAGGCATAAGGAACCATTCTGATGGCCAGAAGGTTGGAATTTTCTATTCTATTTATTAACCTATGGGAAAGGGAGAATGGCTGGAGAATGAGTTCAATCACTAGAGGGTAGTGATTTCATCAATTATGCAATGGAATCCCCATAGAAATCCCTAAGTGACAGGGCCAGTGTAGACTTTCCCAGTCAGCAGATGGTTCTGTGCCAGGAGGGTGGAGCATTCAGATCCACAAGGACAGAGGCTTTTGAGGTCAGGGGTCTCCTAGACATTGCCTTATTTACTGGGCCGCTCTTTTCCCACTTTTATAATAAACTATAACCACAGTCACAGCACTTCGTCTTCCTCAACTTTGACTCATTCTAGACAGTTCTTTAAATGACATCCCAGAAAGCCCTAAATTGGTAGTCACACCAGAAGACATGCAGATAATCCAAGGAAGAACCTGGGAATTTGCTACCTGCTACGGAAATGAAGTTTATCTTGCAGGGTTGGTCCTGAAACCTGTGACATCCGAGACTAAGAGGGACAGCTTCAGAATAGGACTGACTGAGGGTCTAGTTGGAACAGAAGGATATGATCACCATCAAACATTTCAGGTGACACACCCACTGCTCACAGACTTACTCTGACTTGGGCACTCAGAGCATAGAAAGAGGGGGGGTTGGGCCTCGTCAACTGAGGTTGATGGTAAGGTTATTTCCTACAGTTTCTATTCTACTTGGCACCACAGTCTACCACCTCCTAGGAGGGAAAACCGGGCAAATTTGTCATACTTCTTAATATTTCAAAATAAAAATCTGAACTCAATTCAGGAAAGTCATTTGCAATTCCATCTTTAGCAAAATAGTTTGATTTGTAATCTTATAAACAAAAATTCTACAGGAAACACATTTATTTACATATAAAAGATTTCTTCTAATAAAGTAGTATTAACATGAGTAGGATCTTCTCTCCATTTTCGGGAGGAATTCTGGAACGAATGTTAAAGTCATTGTTCATGACGGATGTCCCAAAATTGTAATGTAGAGGTTGAATATTTGCTTGTCAACTTGTACTCTACACATTTTCAAGCAAAAATAAAATGATCTCTTTTGTCAGTCAAGTGGACGCTTCATTTAAGCTTACTAACAAAAAGAAGGGGCAAGAGTCACAGAAACACATTCCTTATTTGAGTTAGTGTTTAATTTACAAAAATGTCAAGCATGCAGTTGCATTATTCACAAATAAAAAAGGCTTTGTTATCTCAGCAGCTAGGTAAAGGCATTTTTTCTTCCTTTTAAAGACACATTAAATTTCTTTAATAGGTAGTTGAGGGTAAAATTATTTAATTTCAAGAGATAAAGTCAGAGAAGATTTGATAGTTTCAGTTATTTTAGTACTGTTGCTTTTACATGCTTTGAAAGGCTTTTAGTATGATTAGCTGCTCATGATTACCACTGCAAAAAGTGCCAGTCACGTGTATATCTTGACAGCCTTCATATTCCAATGTATTCAAGGCAAAACCTGTCACATCTAGTTATAGGATCACTGGTTTGTGTCTGCTTCCTCTCAGAGTACTCAGTCTCTTTATGGCCATTAGTCCATTTTCTCCATCTCATGGTGGGGTGGGGATTCTTATTGGTCTCTTTTCTCTCAGACTCCAGAAACTACTGCTGATATAGACAGGGCATGAAGATCTCCACGGTGGGGGAATCTTGGGGTCTTAAGCTCTTACTTTTCTTCCCTCCCTCCCTCCCTCCTTCCATTCTTCCTCTCCCCCTCTCCCCTTCCTTTCCTTCTTTTTTTTCTTTTCCTTTTTCATTTTTTTGGTGTTTTGAGACAGGATTTCTCTGTGGCTTTGGAGGCTGTCCTGGAACTAGCTCTTGTAGACCAGGCTGGTCTCTAACTCATAGAGACTCACCTGCCTCTGCCTCCGAGTCCTGTCATTAAAGGCGTGTGCCACCACCGCCCGGCCCTTTTCATTTTTTCTTTTGAGACAGGAGTTAACTGTGTATGTAGCACTGGCTGTTCTGGAACTCACTTTGTAGACTGGCTGTGCTCAAACTCAGATCCACCTGCCTCTGCCTCCTCAGAGCTGGATTAAAGATGTATGTCCCAATATCTTAAGCTTTTTAAGCTTACTTATCTCCCAAGCTTATACTAGTGGTTCTGAGAAAGTGTTGTGGGGAAACCCTGGCTCTCTCAGACTCTAGACCAGGCTTTAAAGGCTGGATGGCTTCACAATATGGAAAAGACATTGCTTTTGCTCTTCAGCATCGGAGTGTGACCAGCTCGTGATATGCCTGCAGAAGGTTTAAGATTCAAGCCACTCATGGAGTTGTATCAAAGAACACCAACAACTGTCTGACTAAGCTGTTGAACTAACATTTCCTTGTCCAATTACCTATCTGAGATGTGTAAAATATGCCATTCCCAACAATGAATTGAGAGGCTGAATGTGGAAGTGTGCATGAGAATCCAGCTGTAGTCCTTTAAGCCAGATAGTAAAGAGATTTTTTTGGGGGACCCATTCACATTCCAATGTTATCATCCTTACATTTTTAATGGTCTTACTTGGCAAAATTCAGTTTTATATCATAAAACATGCAATCTAACTAACAATGAACAAAATGTCTCCAGTTTAATCTTGAATAAGATATATTTTGGTTGAAGTAATTTTTCTTCAACTCACCCTATTATCTATTATCTATTCACCCTCCCCTCAAGCAACTGATCCAAATATCTTACTGTAATAGCAAACTTAAAAATAGCAACTGGAATCTTCTAGATAAAAGTTAAAGAATAAACAGACTATGGAGCCATATTAGCCATTGCAATCCTGTCCACCAACCATGAAAGCAACAACAACTGCCCTTCTATATTATAAAGACACAAAGGAAAGCCAGGAAATCTTTAGGGGCATGGCTTTTCTGAAATCTAATGACTGCTGAAGATTTCATGAAGTCTTAGGATTCTATAATAAAATCTTAACTGACTTTCTAAGAACAGCAGGGGAATATTTCAGACAGTCTCACTCTACTTTCCAAATGGTCACTGGGATAGAGCATCCATAGAGGTGAGAAGAACCAACAAATATTTAGCGGGGGTTGTTAGTCCAATGAATAAAGGAAGGAAGAGAGAGAGAGAGAGAGAGAGAGAGAGAGAGAGAGAGAAGAGGCAGTTTCATTTTCACAGAAATGGCTTGCCAGATGTTTCCAGATAGACTTCCAGAACATTCCATCTGTTAGGCAGAATGGTGGTCAGAAAAGTCCTAACTGATTAGTTCTTGCTCGCAGAAAAATATCTGGTTTTTCATTTATTACTATTTGCTTTATTTTTATAAGCCATGATCAATTAAAGAAGTAAAATATATCATTTTCTTAACCTGTCTGAAAACTCTCTCTAGACCAAGTCATGTTTTCTGTGATATTTATTGTTCCTGAGCAGATCTGATTTTCATTGTCCCTAAAAATAGTACCACAGAGTTTGAAAAATATGTGCTGATTTGCTTGGGTGCTAAGAGCACCTCCCAAAAATGTTGATTAATGTGTCTTGACACAGAATGAATTAGCCATGCAGTGTTCTTCTTGCTTAGAGGCTAATTAGAATTCAAGTCAGCATGATACCTGCGCATTTGAGAATTACAGCAATAACATTTGTTGCACTAAGAACTGGAGGCAGCCAGTTTTGGCAATGACTGATTTCTAGAATTATTGTGGAGACCAAGAAAAAAAAGAATGGGAAGTAGAGTTTGCCTCTAAAACACTTAGTACTCTAAGAATAAAATCTGAGTATAAATTAAAACATCTTAATTGCTCTGTTGAAAATGAACTAAATAGTGAATTTATTTAAAGTCCACAAAATCTGTCTTTTGGATTTTTTAAAACAGAATTGCATCATGAAGGATATGCAGTGTATTTATTGGAGGTTTCAGTATGGTGGCTAAAACTCTGTTATCTGTTGCAGGAGTT